AACCAATCGCCGCACTTGCACCACCAGTGTCCTGAACAGATGCAGACAGGGCAAACATGAGGTGCGCCAGGGAATTGCCAAGGCGGCCAGCACGCGCTCTTGCATTGTACGCCTTACAGAAGAGGTCATCTGTAACCCGACATTGAGTCCGCGGGCACCGGACATCAGGACGCAGGGCTTCATCTGGTGACACAATCAGTGAAGCAACAGCTGGTTCAATTGCTGGCATACGGTCCAGGCCGGCCTTCACTGACTCATGCATGGCAGCTAATACACGTCCATCCGAGGAGAGACGCGACAGCGCTCTCGGTTCCCGCCAACAGGCGTGTAACTCCTTCAGGTACTCCTCTGATGGAGGTACAGAAAAAGGAGTAGGAGCCCTTCCACGTCTGAAAAAAGCACTGCCAGAGCTGGATGCCTCTCCTCGTGGGAGTTCCAGCTGCAGCTGCTTCAGGGCCATAGACATGACCTCTCGCATGGAACCGTCACCGGCCTCTCCAACCGCACTCTGAGATGAAAATGAACCAGCCTCAGAGGCTTGAGAGGACCCTGCCTCCTCCTCATCTCTAAAATGAGAAGCGGAAGCAGCCAGAGAGATAACGTCATCCTCTACAACCAGCTCGGGCATTGGTGGGGAAGAGAGCCCAACCACTGGGAGCGAGGGATCAGATTGCCGTGTCTGCAACAAGGACTTCATCTCTGCCAGCTCTGCTGACAACTGCTCCACGCTTGTGGACAGGCCCTGGTCAGGTTTGGCCCGCTTCCTCCGGGGGAGGGGCACAGATGCTGTGGTCCCACCACGGCGCTTAGAACGCTTGGGGGGAACCACCTGCCCAGAGGGCGGAAGGTCCGAGCCCTCCTGGGGGCACAACTGGGCCAACCGGGCCACCCTCACTGCATGGGGCATAAAGCTGCAATTCATACAGGGGTTCTCAGACAGCGCCTCCAAAAGGTGCTCATGTCCAAGGCAGGTAGGGCACAGGTCGTGGCCATCCTCTGCCTGCAGGGCAGCCCCACAATCTATGCAGCTGTGAGAGCCATCCATGTCGAAGGCCGACAAGGCTTAAAGAACAGAAAGTCGAAAATCGGGAGAGGGGGCACAAACGCAGCCGTCACCAATTACAGCAGAGAAACGAAAGAGGCTGCAAGCACAAGGCAGCCGATACTGGGAGAGGGGGCGAGAACCGCTACCGTCACCAGGTATAAAACCAATAAACCAAAAAAGCTAACAACGTTAGCTGTATGGAAACTTAAGTTGGGAGTAGGAGCGAACAACGCTGCCGTCACCAATTATAGCGGATAAAACGAGAGGCTGCGGACACAAGGCAGCCGATACTGGGAGAGGGGGCGAGAACCGCTACCGTCACCAGGTATAAAACCAATAAACCAAAAAAGCTAACAACGTTAGCTGTATGGACAACTTAAGTTGGGAGTAGGAGCGAACAACGCTGCTGTCACCAATTAAGAGAGCAGACCAACGAAAAGGCTGCAAAAAAGGTTGATATTGGGAGAGGGGGCGAAAACGCTGCTGTCACCATTTATAACTAAGCAGACCGATGAAGAAGGCTGCAAACAAAACAAAAAAGGCTAACAACGTTAGCCGTCTCCAACTTCGGCAAACGAAGTAGACCACACTTGGTTGGGAGAGGAAAAAAGGATGCAAAAGTAGGGAATATACTGGGAGAGGGGGCGAAAACCGCTGCCGTCACCAGGTATAACACCAACAAACTAAAGAAGCTAACTACGTTAGCCGTATATAACTTCGGCAGTGAAGTTATTCACACTGGGAGTAGGGGCGAAAACGCTGCCGTCACCAGTTCGAAACAAAACAGCACGAAGCTGTAGGTAAAAAGCTAAAGTCGTGAGCCGGGAGAGGGGGCGCGGACGCTACCATCACCAGCAAACAACTCACTTACCATCCGTAATCCTCAGAATCGACCCGTTGCAGCCCTGGGAGGGCGGAGAATAACCGCAACTCCGGTCAAGATACAGGGGCTTCAGACAACGGGGAAGTTAGCGAACCGCTTGCGAGAAGAAAAAAGGAGCAGAGCAAAGGATGACACCAGGCTATATAGCTTCTGAGTGGTCATCCGGTGTCACAGGTGTGACTCTGTTGGTATAATTACTCGAACTGCGCATGCCCGAAGGGAACATTCAGTGCTTTCAGCACCGCCCTCTGGCGGTCAGTAGGGATGAAATAGAACACCTGTCTCTGCTTCAGCACACCTGAACCTAATAATTAGGTAATTAGCAGCAATTTTCTCACCTTGAGTGCCTGAGTTGATTCAGTCATTGGATTCAGGTGTGCTGGACCAGAGAAACGTCTAGAAGTTGCAGGAAACCTTGATGACTTAATTTTGACAGGATTTGGTTGATTTGGATAGCCTTTCTACTTTAATGAATAAATATTATCCTTCATTTGATAATCTGAAACATAAAAAAACAACAAAAGTAAATTAGTAAAGAAACAAAACCCCATCTGCAGCTCTGTATATTATGTTTATATTGCAATAAGGCACAGATTTGCAATAGGTGTTAAACAATTGAAAGTTCTCATATACATTTTACAGTAAATACTCTTAAACCTTTAATGACATAAATGACATTCCTTACATCTCTGAAACAGAAATCCCTTACTTGCCGTTTAGATTTCTCTCTTTTATGGGGCTTTTTAAGTACCGTACCTAATAAAGAGCTGTTAGTAAAATTATCTTTACAGAAAGAGTTAAATAGATCATTAGGTAACAAAGCCTTCTACTATATAAACATCCAAAACATAATATAAAGACATCATGTTTTTCACCCTATGAAAAGAAGTGTTCATAGGGTAATGCTGCTCTGCTTTCTTTGTGCAGCTGTGGTGATACAATAATTCATTGAAAACTGCCCATTTTCTGTCTTTCAGATTTGTTGCCAAGCAACCATGGTTTATAGAGCCCCCATTTCCTTTGAGCAGAAAGCAAAGCAGGAAAAAAACCCACATAATTACTAAATTCGGTAAGATCCAGAGATTAGTATCTGTCCAATAGCTTTCTAATTACTGCCCCACATACATTGTGAAACTGATGATTGCACTGAGGAGCACAAAAGTGGACTTCAGTAAAGAAATAAGGTCACTTTAACATGATGCATTCTAGTGTTCACTCCAGTCTATTGGTAAAAATCACTAATTGTTGGAAAGCTATTGTAAAATAAACAAGGGGTTCAGATTTAGCTTTTTTTCCTAGATTTATATTAATATTTTAGTACAAAGATTGTTTCATCAGACCGCATCGATGTTAAGTGTACACCAGGGGCAGTGTTTACTAAAGCTGTGCTGAGTGGATGGTTAAAGGGTTTGAGATCTACAAAAGTTTTTTTTTTATTTTTTTATTTTAAGAGAAATGTTTTTGAAGAAAGACAAAAAAAAATTACCCTAGATAAAAAAAAAACAGCTGTCTGCCTAACATTTGTGCTCGTCCAGTTATTATTAGTTTAAACTCGCTCTTTTACTCCACAGGGCAGATGTTGAACATTTTGGGAAGCACTGTTTCCTATTGAATAATTATAGACAAAAATGATATACAGAACTGAATCCCTAAATCTCGCCTCACATTGGCCATTTTACTCAGTCAATTATAACTAAACGTTTGCAACTGAAGATGAAACACTCAGAATCAACCATCAGTCTTTACTCGGTGTAGGTCAAGGCCTCTATTTAGATTCACATCGTCCTTTAGCAACTTAATCCATTGAGAATTCTGGCAAAATTAAGTATTTGTTCTTCTTACAGATTGTACAAAATACTGGAAATTAGACAACAAATGGCTTCAGGAAGATCAGGTAACACAGCAGACAATCAGAGATCATATTGTGGAGCTTTTTAATTAGCTTATATAACATTGTAGGGTTTTAACATCTGATAAACCAAGATTTACCTCATCAGCTGGAAAACAGGAGTGGTGCTGCACAACTACTAACCTACCAAAACTGCACCTCAAGCCATTAGAATCAGTGACCAGTGTCCTGTGTGTTTTAGAAGCTTCTCTGGTAAAACTTACCTTCACGAAAAAAAAAAATATATATATATAATAATAATAATAAATTATATATATATAATAATAATAAATTATATATATATATAATAATAATAAATTATATATATATATATATATATATATATATATATATATATATATATATTTTTTTTTTTTATTATTATCTCTGCAACACTTAAGATTTGCTGAGAAGATATTTTTAAACATCTAGACTCAGAGGAAGGACAAGGAGAGAATTAGATAGACAAGCAACTGAGAGTGCTATGGTAACAATGGTGGAGCTAGTCCTGCACCTTTCTGGCCTTTTTGGAACACTTTCTCATTTGTAAAGATGCTCAGAAGCAGCTTGGAATTTATTCAAAGATAAAAGACCTAAATGAAGAGAAATCCTGAAGTAAAATATGCACAAGGCCACACATGTGAAGACTGGGGCTGAGATCTACCATCCAGCTGGGTTATAATGTTCTACACTGCAAAAACAATCCAGAAATAAGTAAAAAATGGCTTAAATTAAGTATATTTAGCCTTAATTTGAGTAGATAAATAAGATGATTTGCCAATGGAATGAGTATTTTTACTCTTAAAATAAGATAGTTAGATAATATTTACTTGAAATAAGAGGATAAAATAGTTTTTTCTTATTTTAAAAGGAAATTGTCGTGTTCCATTGGAAAAGTGTCTTACTTACCTCCTCAAATCAAGGAAAAACACACTTATTTTAAGAAAAAAGAACTTATTGAGATTTCTATTTTTTGCAGTGTAGAATGGCCCCTGTAAGTCGCCCTCCGTCCAATCTGACAAAATTAGAGCTCGTTTAAAAGGAATTGGTGGAAACTTAAGTCTAAAAATCCATCTATTATTACTGTAAAATAGGCTGAAGTTTCTGGTTGTGATGCAGCAAAATTCTTAAACTTTATATCAGATCGTCATTATTCTGCAGTCAAGTGAAAACAGTCCCCATGATGTGATATCAAACATTGTATTAAAATTATACACTGACAAATATGTGACAGGAGGGGATTGGGTAAACAGTTAGTTGGTGCTGAACAGTGATTAACTCACATTCATTCACAAAGTTCAGCAGTTCAAAGGAACAAGAGTAATAACAATGGTGATTTGGATTCCAGAAATTATAATATTAAACAAACCAATCACAATCTTCAGTTTGAGTAAAAGAGATTTTTGATGCAAAACCAAAATACACAAATTGCTAATCCTACAGTAAAAATCCCTTCTGTTATATTTAATTCATTTTTACTCTTTAGTCATTTATTAACTTTCACATAAATACTATCCATTTCATTTCCCTACTTATATTTACAGATCAGAGCCATACGAGTAAAAATTAAAAACATCTTACTAAGGTTACAGGGTTCAAAGTGCAGGACTGTGATGATGGGGGTGCATCGGTCACTGGAACATGTATTCACACACCAAACCATGCTGACACCAAACCAGAGCTCACAACAAAACTTTTCATACATATAAAAGCCTTCATAAGGTCATCCAGGATAACAGGAACAAAGCCCCACTTTGTTAAACCAAGCAACAGGAGCCATTCTTCAGACAGCAATAGGAAGCAGTTTCACCTCAGACAAGGTGAGGAAAGCAACAGGAGGCTCATAACAATAAGCATCTTTAAAAGTCCTCTAGTATTTAATGAAATCCCTTTGTAACATAAGCTGTTCTATGACTTATATCATTTTAAGTTGCATCAATTTCAAACCTCACATCATCTAAGCTCTAAACTGACTGCTTCAAGAGCCGTTTTTGCCACCTGCTTGCACCGTCAATTATTATCTAAACAGAAACCTGAAGATCAGCCAAGACTGTACTAACTGCCTGGCAACGCTGGAGCACTCGGACATTTTCTGCCCTCTAAAACTCATTTATACTTCAGTGTGACGCAAAAGGAGAAAATAACTCCTCCCAAAATGAAGAGGAATGGATTTGATGTTTAGTTAGATATAAACATTGTTGGAATCAATGCAGGGAAGAAGAAAGGTACCGAATAAGAAGTTTATAGAAAATAGTTATCCCTTAATGTGACAGCTCAGTTAACATCTTCAAATTAAACACACAGCTCTTTGCAAAAGCATTCAGAAAACTTGAACATTTACACTACTTTACATGGATTGCATTGTGATAAGCAACACAAGCTGATGTGCAAATGTAAAAACCTAACAAAAGGAAAATTTGTTTTTGATAAAATAAAAATCAAACATGTAGTTTAATATAGCCCTACAGAGTTAATGCCTTTGGATTGTCCCCTTTTTCACTGCATCATTGGGCATCAGCTCCCAGGCCTTGCCATAGACTGGATATAGGTCTGACCTAAATTCTTTTTTAATTCTATTGGTCCACATCTACACAGCATGTTGCTGCCATTATAGTGTTTTTTACACCAATAACAATGTGATTGCATTATTAATGGTCTTTAAGATGCTTTTTGATCACCAGTTCCATCTAATAATTGTGTGAAAATCTAGGAAAAAGTTCAAGTTGTATGAATACTTTTGCAAAGCATTGTATGGATATTGAGCCATTTAGCACCCAATGCCCTGCTCTCTAACCACTAGGCCATCACTTTGTACTAACTCATCCCTTTTTTATATTAAAGAAGTAAAGGGTCATCTGGGAAAGGAAGTTTTATACTATATGAGCAGCCCTCAAGTTGTCAGGGAACTCTTGGCCAAAACGAAAAATCTAACAAAAAGTGATAACATTAGTTTCACTGTTTTAAGCATCTAGCATCCTGAGGAGAGTCAAGCATCAGCATATAATTATAAAATGAATTCACATTTTACCGCCATACTTAAGCTGCAGCTATTCTGATTTCCAAGATGCTTTTTGATCACTTGTTTTATATAAGAAATGTGATAAACTGGAAAAGTTTAGTAATATGATTACTTTTGCAAAGTACTGCATGGATGAATAATTATTTTTGCTGTTATAGCTAGAGAATATAAAAAGAAAAAGTTCAGAGGGAACTTTATGGCTTTATTGTCTGGACCTTTTTCAATGCAAGCAGTAGTGATGCGGATGCGATAGACACAGTGCTGCACGAGGCGTCCTTTTTTATTAACGATGCACCTCTAAGCGAACGTCGTGTGCTGGGGCACGACGCGTTTAAGTCACAGGTGTCACACACTTCAATCCTCAGGCTCAACATCAGACACGCAGATGGCAGTTTTTACTTACATAACACACAATTATTTCACAGCTCGCCTGGAGCTAAAAATCTTTTTCACACTTAACACAAACATCACAATCTACATTCTTTATGCATGCAGTGTCTTCTGTTTACTGATTTTGTTACAAGGTGCCAGGTGTGATTCTTTTTAAACATTTTTTAAAGATATATTTTTTATTGTAATTCAGCCTTATAGATTTTTTTTATTGGTTTAACTCTTTATGACTAAAAACGTTAAGGTGACATCATTTATGAGTGAAATGTTACTCATTTTGTTGGTGCCTTTTAATCTCTGTTTCTGCTGACAGATATATGTGATCAACAGCGGCAGCTGAGACAGAGGAAATGCTTCAGGTGGCTCTTAAAAATGTATACAGTGCAGTCGTGTATTAGTGAATATTTACAGGCGCAAAAATGAACAGCTAGTGGAAGAGAGACAGGAGCTTGGCACAGTGACACAGACCCATGAGGTTCTGTTCAACCAAGTGGAAATGAAACATGTGGGAGAGATTGTATTTCTTCATCCTCCTCTTTCTTCTCACTGCGTGGGGGAGCAGTCATCCAGATCCAGCAGCTCTCTGACCAGTTTTTCTCCGAACTGCGCCCGGCTGTAGCGCTTGACGGCGTAGGCGTCAGACATCTTGTAGAGGATGTATGCGTTGTTGATTGCGATGCTGATGCTCAACCAGAACACCTGCTGCCAAGTCTTGTTGGGCTTATGGAAGATAAAATATCTATAAGACAAAGAGACATGGTTTACACAAAAACTGAAAAAAAATTATAGTTATTCTTTTTTTTACAGCCTGCATGGTATAATTAAGTCATATTATTTGGTCATTGTTGTGATTTTTAGCTTCCACCTGCTAATCATGTCAGCTACGAACTACTGTAGCTCCTGAACTTCAGCCAGCTTCTTTGTTTCCTTCATTTCATTACTGGACAAACTGATTAATCCAGGTGTGTCTGACCTGAGTAATCATGACAACATTAGCCAGACACACCTGGATTAATCAGTTTGTCCAGTAATGAAATACAGGAAACAAAGGAGCTGGCGGAATTTCAGGAAGTTGGGCATATAGTCCATTCTGTTTCCCTGGTAAGTGATGAGGGAGCATTAGCATTCAATGGCATTATCCACCTGCTATACTACCAAAATGGAGGCCAAATATGAATCAGTGTGTTATAATTCTTGTATCATTTAAAGACACTGATAGTATAAACAGACAAATTTTTTTATATTAAAATGTATAGTGGAGGATGTTTTTTTGCCAGGTCGATCATCAAAATAAGTGGTCCTCCCAATTGTCAATCATTCTGGTGATATGTTTACGTAAGGCCGTCTTACGTGCTCATCCCCATTTTCACTCACCGGTGATGAGTCTGACATAGTGGAAGAACTGCAAATCTGCTTTTGGAAAGTAAGCTTGTATGAGCGATGCAAACAGCAACTTTTAAACAGAGCGTGCACAAGGAGAAATGGGCTCCCACCCGTTTAATAGGCGTTCCCACTCAGGAGCGGGTACAGGGTGATTCATGTGCACTTTTTTTTTTTTTTAAGTGGACAGGGCGGGTCTTTTAAAAAAATTCACAAAAAATCCTCCAATATACCTTTAAAACATGATTTTTGGACTGTGGTATTAAGCCAGAGCATCCAGATAGAGGAAAAAAATATAAACAATCAGCAAATAGTACAGATCAACTTTTAGCTGAGTCAGATTTTTGCCTTTTTAATGGCCTAAAATGTCATGTAACAATTATTGTGTCCTAAGATATAAAGCATGTCAACATCTATTTAGCAAAATGTACTCTCTCCAAAATATCAGTCTTGATTTGAAAGAGAAAATTGCTTCTTAGTTGAAAACTTGTGATAAAGTGGAATATCACATAATATGTTTACAACATCCTTTATAGTTATTAACACACAAAAGCCTTAAAATAAATGGTAATTATGAAGCATCCAAGATGAGGTTCTTTAAACAGAAAACTCAGGACACTTTTTTAACTCCCTTCCCCTCCTCTCTCTAAACATTGGCCAGTTACATGAGACACAGTAACAAGGATTCATCCACAGTGCAGATAAATATGGAACAAATGATTTTTTAACATTTCTCTAAGACTCAGATGCATTGATGACAAAAAGAAGGTTCAAATTACCAAAAAAACAAAGACTATACAATAACAGTATTGTGATGAATCAGGCAGTATTGGGTCCACACATACTTGCTATACTTGTCGTCATATTTGCAGATGTAACTGAGGTGTGCTGCAAAGGCCTCGACGGCGAGGGGGCACGGGATCTCTCCACTTTTCCTCTTAATAATTATACCTGCCAAAGACACAGATGATGAATGGTAGAGCGTCTGCTAAAAGAGAGCAGCTGTAGTTTATGATTTTCTGTGGCAAATGTGACTCTATAACTATCCATACAATAGGTTTTGATGTAATTATAAAATAAAAAATTAAAGGATTTAAAGCTATTTTGTGTCTTATTACTGATTTAATAAAATCCCAACAGACGCCTACATATACACACAGGCCAGACAAAAGGGTAGTAACCATTTAAACAATCTGGGACATGGACATGCCCACACACACACACTCGTTCTGCAATCGTAGTGAGGACCATGTGTTGACTTATACACAGTCAATTAGGCAGTATGAGGGTGATATCATCATCCTCCCCCCTCCTAAAAATGGATTGTTGCATATTAAAAGATGTTATTGCTTTTCAGTATCAGGAATCCTTGATCTTATGTGATTATTTCCTGATGGTTTGCATTTTAGCAAAACAGTGAATCTTATTTTCACTAAAAACATAACCAGAAGACCTTTTAAAATAAAATTCACCTAAAAAAAATGAAAGAGGGGCTTTAAAGAGGATTATTTATTCTCTTATTCACCTTCTTTTGTTGGTGAATAAGCATTGGTAAGAAACCTGAAGTGTCCCTTATTGTACCAGCTGATCAGGGACATGCTGCCTTTCATCATGACCCGTGACTGGCCGCGCTGCGCTGGCGTGGAGCTGCAGACCAGCATGCTTTGTGGCAAACCTGTACAGTCACTCTTCCTGGTGCTCAGTAAGCCACAGCAGTAGATATCTGTACAGGGAAACAAATATATATATAAAAATTACCTCACTCATAATGATGTGCACTTTTCAAAAGGAACTTTAAAAAGATGAATGGAAAAGCTAAAAAATAATTAGCATGTTTTACCACCATGGACACTTTATTTTAAAGTTCCTAAAACAAATCTTTTTTCTTTGATGTCCTTTTGAAGTTTGCCTGATTCAGTCATGTTTTAACTACATTTTTTAATGATAACCTTTTAGAAGATCTTAGAACATATGTGTAAATTAAAAAGAAATTGATAAATGTATTAAAAATCTGGTGTATATTTATTTTCAGTCCATTTGTGGGTGGTGTATTTTGAGTCAACCTCGCCTCAAAGGTTAATTAAAGATCATTGTGTAGAAATGGTGGGAGTATCAAGTTGTAGGAGGGACAGAAAAGATGGTATAGTTTGATATGAAGATAAGTAGAGCTGCATCCTGTGAGACGCACACTGTTAGGGTTTCGATCAAGGCGCATTCATGTTTCAGAATGGACAAGTCTAAGTACAGACTAAACTACATTTACAAACCCATGGGGACACTCGGACGATAGAAAAACCCTTCAGTCTCCAGTAGATTATAGAACAATAACTCAAAGGACTTTAGCTAAAGCTCTAGTTGCACTGAAATGTGGTTTTTGAAGTTCTAACTCATGGGAGCCAAATACAAATGCAAGCCATATTTCTACTATTTCTTTCTAACCAACTAAACTGTATTCTGTTATCTAAGTAAAAAAGGAGGCAGTGTGGGTTTGTAGTGTATTTTTCCTTGCTTTAGTATGGGAACAAAAGAACCTAATCAGAACTTAAGGTTTTAGCTGTTCCTCTTTTATCAATGCAACAATTGACTCTTTATTTTTACTCAGATGAGCTGAGGGAAAGTAAGCATGTGGGTCAGTGTTGCTGATGCGTTAGCAATTCACCAAACAGCTTCTGTCTATGTTCACGAGTGTGGATGAGTGCTGCAGAATAATGCAGAGCAATTAAGTCTGCTAATTACACATGCAAGATAAAATTGAGAGAAGAAAATGTAGAACAGTGTGTCCACACAGTCATTTATTGTGGAGGAAGGAGATGTTTATAGCTGGCTCTTGCTGTAATGGCACAATATAGATCATATCTCAGGCCCTTTAGGCTTTATAGTGCAGGGAAACTATTCAGAATAATTTTTGATTAAAAAAAATACATAAGAAGGAAGTAACTGTAACTCCACTTCTGCTGCAGCCATCTTCCTTTCTCGGCTTTGTTTTAAATCAAGCAGCAGTACCAGGTGAGAGTAATATAACACTTTATTTTAACCCCTTAGTCACCCCCCCTACTCTACAGCGTCTCCATTTGTGTTTTGTGAAGCAGCAGCAGCAGCAGCAGCTTTCAGATTCTAGTTTATCAAGAAAAAAGGGATGCTTTATCTCAAAAAACATATTAAAACTAAAAGCTCTCTCTGTATGCACTCTGATGTCAGCTTTTCTGAGATGCGTGACTGACATCTACTTCGAATGTATGAATGTAGACAATCTTCTTGTTCCATTTTTTTCCCACTGGGCTCAAATACACTAATGCTATAGAAAAACATGCAGGAAAGTTTATGCCATAATCATTTGTTACAATCCTTATAGATGTAAAATGTGAATCAAATAAATCTTTAAAACAAAGGGGGCTAGGAATAGCCTGATTAATGCAATGAAGATTTCTCCTTCATTTCATACCTTTGCAGTCTTCAAAGGAAAATGGTTCAATAGTTCAAAAATATAAAAACTAACTTTTCAAAGGCTTAAATGTTGGAGTAAAACCCTCTGTTAATGCATTATGGTTAAAGGTTGAAACATAATGAGAATTCAAGCTGAAATCTTTATGCAGTGTGGTGTTATTTATTTATTTATTTATTTATTTGCCTGTGCTGTTTAGCCTGAGGATTAGGTCATATAAGCTCATTTAAAAATAAACAAATCAAATATTTAAAAAGATTTTAAAAATCCCTAAGACAAGCAGTGAGATTACAATCTATACTCCAAAGACAAAGAGGAGGCTGTCGGCTGCCCTGTTGCGCTCACGTACCCTGCTTGCTGAATTCAGTGAAGAGGCCGAGGCTGGTGATGGACGGCCCCGTGAAAATGATGGTGTTCTTTCCAGAGATGTTCTGACAGAGCTGCTTGGCCACCAGGCTGTGGAGCTGGGGCTTGTTCTTCAGGGCAGCCAGTCCATCTGCACCCTGTCCCTCCTTCAGATGGACGGAGATCTACACAGAAACCAGACAGAACATCAGGCGTGGAACAGCCTGTCGTGTTTCCTGATTAAGCACTCTTTTATCATCCTGAAATGAATGTCATTACTGAAGTAGAAAAGCTCTATAGTCATTGTCACCCCTGATGTAGATGTGGAAGAGTCATTAAAATGGACTTTATTCTAGTAGCAGAATCTCTCCCCTGACAATATTTCAATAAATTCAACTTTTAATATTCTATATAGTTCATAAAACTGTTTTTCAAATGGAACTGCATCATTTTACAATTGGAGGACACGGGGGGAAGGATTGTTTCTAATCTCTAATGAATGTCCTCAATAAAGCTCTCCTCTTAAGCTCCCTGCAGTTTTCTATCGGCTATAACTAGGGACAGAAAATGCTGATTCTTGGATCGTTTTTGGAATAAGATCCAATTCAAAAACCAAAGTTGACTGATTCCAAATCAAATTTTAAAACAAAGTCCATAAGATTTGTAATTAAACTACCATCATATCTATAAGAGTTCTCAAAGCTGGTTAGTTCATTTAGACACATTTTTTTTTATAGAAAATACTATCGGTATCAATGAGCGTCACGTTGTAATTAAATGAGAACAGTTGTTTTTTCTAACACAAGAGTGACTAGATTTATTCAGTATAAATACTGTTTTCTTTTAGTGTAGACCTAAACTATTTATTTTTTTGGTCATTTTGTATGCAGAGTGTATACAGAATATATATTGCATATTGCAGTTGGAGTAACATAAGCCTTACTGATATAAAGTGCTGCAGTGATCAGAATGTAGCAATGTAGGAGTAAAAGAATAAAATAATGGTGCAAAGGGGCATTAATATGAAGAAGTTCAGTGCAGTGCAAAATAAATATGGGGCAAAAAAAAGTTGTGTTAAAAGGATTTTAAAAGTTAAGCAATGTTGATTAATGTAAGGTCATGCTTCTGCAGAAAATTTGAAAAATTGTAACATCTTTATTGGAGATAAGGATTAATGTAGATTTTCCCTTTCTGGGCTTGTAAATATGGGACTTATTATCAATCAATGAGATTAATTTTACTTTTTAAAATCCTGTATTCAGTGTTAATCCACATTTCCTCTTAATGACGGTATTTTCAAAAATAAATAAGCATCCAGATGACTGAAGGTTGAAACTATTATATTAATTTCTTCAAATGCAAATGTATGTCAAAATTTTAAGTGAAATATTAAAAGTTAGAAAAATTAATAACTGATATTATCATTCCATCCAGATTACAATGCATTTATATTTACCCTCTGCTACATTAAGTCTCTACATCTTAGAAAAAACAAATCATTACCCCTTTTTTGTAAAACAGTTTAATTTTCTAGTCATCACTGAGTTAAATTGCATTAGTCTAAATATTCCTCGTTTATCTACTTAAGCTCTGCAACCATTAGATCAGTAGGACAGAGTTAATGCTTCTGCAAGATGCTCTAAAAAAATGCTTATCTGTTCTTGTGTGCTGCACGGACTAATGCACCATGATTGATCTACATCACTCAAAGTCATTTTTTCTTTACTTTTTATGTTTTTCATTCCCTGGATAGTCCTGATCCAGAGGAAGAATGCATCAGTGGAGTCTTAGGTTGGTGTGCAGCAAACTGGTATATGAGGAGCTGCTGCTAAATGGCTGCAGTCAATATGGATGTTAATGGTTTCTCACTTATGGGATAATGGGATGTGGCTACATTTTATAAAGAATATCCTGTTAAACGTGTTCAGATGTTTTATTCTAATGTAAACTGTTGTGGTCCTAGAAATCTATAAATAACTAATCGATTGCTTAGACCGCTTTCATGGAGGAGAAAACAAATACAAATTAACAGCTAAAATCTTGTTGAATAAATGCAACTCTGGCTTTTTTCCAGGTTAAATAAGAAAACACTCTCCACATGTGGTGTTTATAGTCAGATAGCTTAATTGAATCTATTTATGGGATCTGTGTAGTAAAAGGTCTTACATTTACAATCTGGCGTTCTTGTTCTTCTCTTATTGCTCCTTAGCTTATGATTTATTTGTTGGCTTAGTCAATCTTAACTAAAAGTGTTTGTGATAAAGAGTCTTTCTTCAGTAAGAGCCTCCTTTACATACTTTTCAAGGTGGAAGTACTGTCTCCAATGCTTTAACACCAGACTCTCTAATCTTTTTACCTGATGGGGTTTCCATCTCATTGATGATGGGTCTCGCTCTCATGTTTCAGGGATTTATTTGGAGATTAGTGTTCGCATAGTAGATTATACGCTTCTATTTCTGCTGTTGGTTATATGGGTTTCTGCGTCATGTAGTGTGTGACAATAGTAGAAGTAAAATCTTTGATTTTACTCAGAAATGTACATATGAATCATTGTTAATCGTGCATTTGTTGCTTTTATCTTCCACAGTCTAAATACCATCTTTTAGATGACAATAGTTATGGATTTGCTCAATTTTTTCCCCCCATTAGGGGGAATTGTTTGCCCCAAATCTGCTGATTGGTTGATCAGGTACTTGTGAGCTCTCCTGCCTGGAAAAACTAAAACGTTTTTGCTTTTGTAGACAGCAGTTTGATCCACAGGATGAGCTGCTGCAGCAGAACTCTGATGGAAACCTTCATGTAAGGATGGTAAACAGTCGCATTCCACTAAGTTAGACATGTCTTAGTGTGGGAGGTAATTAACTCACCAAAATCAACAGGTGAGTGTTTTAAGAGCTCAGTAGGATGAAAAAAAATAGAAGCTTAATTTTTTTACTCCATCCACCCCAATACCCCCAACGACTTTCTCAGATTTCTTTAAAACATTAAAACAGACTATTTTCGTTTTAATGTTTAGCTTGAGTAGAAATTAAGGGAAAAAATGCTTTGAATTGATTTTTATTAGAAGTAAAAATCTGGAAATTGATTTTCTATTAATCCGTTCTGATGTTCAGGCATTCATGAAAAAGGGGCAAGAAAAAAATAACTGCAAACATTAGAATTCACCTTTACAGCATGCAAAAAGCCATGTTGCGAAACATTTAAACATTGACATGAGACAAAGCTGTATTTTTTAGATTCACTAATGTGTGAATCTAGGCTAGAAGGTAACACTGCAAATCTCCTTGGAAACCACCAGTGAAATACTGTGAGGTTGAAGATATATCTTCTAAAAGGAAAGTGACCCAAATCAGGAAGCATGATCTACAGATCATATTGTTTATATCAAAGCACATCATGTATCAGAATGGCCCAGTCAAAGTCAGGACCTAAATCCAGCAGCCTGATGCAAAACTTGAAAAGGTCACAGACACCAAGCATCAAATCTGATTGAGGATCACTTACTTTGCAAAAATAAAGAGGTAAAATTCTTTTCAAAATGTTTAAGGTGCTACGCTAAAACAAGTTTTCATTCCTCCTGCATAACAGCTTTACACAAGTTTGTTTGGTTTTATTAAACATTTTCGAGCCCACCTTCTGGATCATCTCAAAGTTCCCTTGTTAAGGTTAGATCCTGTCATCAAACTACTGGATTCAATACTTTGAGGGAATCTTTGGGTTTGATTTCATTCAGGAAGACATCAACTCAGTGGAAAAAGGACATATTAACAGGGAAAATAGATGAGAAAAACCTATATAAACAAACACTGACAGTGGATTTAATCTTTTAAAAGAGTGGTTAACTAGTAAGCTTTTTTTCAGGATGTTGGCACCAAAATGTTTTTAAGCAAAACGAAGAATAGTTCTATCAATAGGAGCAAGAAGACTCAGAGGCAAATACCTAAAAATATGTTGCCTGAAATCACTGGGGTATAAAAATGTGAACCCGTATGGTTTGTTTAATGCTTTGCTTTAAGGAGGGTTGGACAGATCTGTCTGCTCTGGTCTTCAGAGGATCTCTGGTGTTATATAAGAGACAAGCGTGGGAGTGGAAGGTCACATTGAGCGCCGTGTTGTCAGTCAGAACTGACACGGCAGCTGGGATTGGAATCTAAAGCCAGTAAATAGTCCACTATGTGGCATCAAAAAGAAATTAAAAAGCAGAAGATATTTCTCATCACAACATCCAATTCTGAAAGTAAATTGTGCAGTTTTTTTCAACATCAATCCCACAAAATGAAAACTGTAATAAAGCTGTTTTCTATGTCCTGCTTATAAATCGAATAGGTTGAGACAGAGGCTGTAGATCAAAGCCTCTGATGCTTCTTTCCATGGAAGCCTTAATGGAAACTTTCCTGCCTCATGTTTCTGTACCTTTCAGCTTCAGATTTCAAAGCAGAAAATTAAAACTGATTCAAAGCAAACACTCAATCTCCCACCACCTTTTTCAAAAAGTGATGCAATTTTTATTTATTGCTGTAGAGTGATGTTTCCCCTCCATCAGTGGCTGCCTCTACCTGACAGATGAATCCGGTGGAGGTGCACTGTCGCACCCACAGACTGAACTTCCTCTTCTTCCTCTTCCTCAGATCCCTTTCTGTACAGGTGGTGATAAACACAGGGTCCTCGTCTATCAGCGGCTCATGGAGAACCTGAAAAATACACAGACCAATATGTGATTCAATGAACCAAAGCTGAGAATTCACACTTTCCTCTTTTCTCTAAAGGATAAAAAAAGTAAAATAAAGAAAACCAAAAACTTTAATAATAATAATATATTTTCCAATTCCATCATTTATCTTTTAATCAACTCCAGAGTTTAAACAGAATGGATGGTGAGTTCTGATCCTGAATTATAAGTCTATCAAACAATGCGTTGTTTTAAGATATAAAAAAATCTAATAGTGAAAGTAGTGCTTCAGATCTCAAAAGTATAAAAAGTGTGACATTTTATGGCTTGGAAAAACTTTCTAAGCAGTGAACCAACATCTTTTGCTCATTTGTTCCATAGAGACTTTCTCCTTTTGTTTAGATTTAATAAGCTTGAATTTGGTTAAATATATTTATTTTGATACATCAGCTAGCTAATGAACAGTGACTACATTTTTGGGCACTATTGGTTTAATCATTTTTTCAAGCACAAAAGGATAATAATAAAATATTTATTTGAGCAGTTATAAGAAACCATTTGAAAAACAATTTTTACAGCTAGATTGAAATAGTTCACATAGCACCAATTCACAACAAAGTCATCTCCTGTTATCACTGCTCAAGACAAACTAATCCATTCATCTTTTATCCATTAAAACAGAGGTTTCAGTCTGTGATCCCAAAAATAAAAATGCAGCAGAACAGCGACCACCAAAAATGACATTCACTCAACTGATTTACTTTATATTTATTTATACAACTTTAAAATGCCATTTTTTCATTTAATTATTTAATTCAAACATTTTTTAATGGTACATTGAATATTTTTGACATTTTTGATTTAAAGGTATTTTAACAATTCAAATCATGCTTTAGATAAATGTTACATCTACTTATTTCACACTGATTGTGAAAAACCATCGTGGGACATCCCCATTTTAGTGTCACGACCCCCAGGGTCATAAAACAGAAAGCTATGAATTTCCCAATCATTTAAATCTCTTTGGATTTAATGAGACATATTCTAACTCAGTGGAGCTGTCATGCATATATTGGGATTGTGGAAGGATGATGGAGTACCCTTTGAGAAACCAAGCTTGCACAGGGAGAAATAAATATAATAGCAAATATATAGTCATATGTTTATATTACTATTCTTTTATGTATTTATTACGGTTTTGAAGGCTGCACTTTAAAAAATTCAATTGTTTTAAACAAAATTTATTTTTATATACACTTACAAAATAAATCTGTCTGTCTATAACATGGAAAGTTTAGTTATGATGTTAGTAATAAACTAGAGGTTGTGGCTTTTTATTCGGCATGTGTAAATATTCAGCTTGTGCTGCATCTCTTTTGCATTTTAGAATTAAAGCCAAAAAGAAGCTAGGATGAAAGGTCTAGTTCTGCCCCAGCATTAAAAAAACCCGGACTTTTCTCAGTCAAGTATGGCGTTATTGTTTAATGAAAAAATTATGATGCTTTCTAGCCTCTTAGTGAATGAATTCATCAAAGCCAGAGTTCTCGCTGTGGGTTACAGTCCAGGACGTAATGACCTACAGTAAAGCTTTGTTTTAAAGAAATGAGTCCTTAGTTAAACCTTTACTCAGCCTCGGAAAAAACAAACAAACATACGTATTTTGGTGAAGATTCTTAGTCATCCAGGTCATAGTCATTGCAAAGAAGTCAGAAAGAAAGGTGGAACAAACCTAATGGCTTCCTTCTCAGAGGCATAGGCCAGTATCTGGTATTGCAGGCCAACAAGAACTCAACCACCCCCCAATTAGTAAGGGGTAGACCTGTTCTTCTGGTTCAATTTGCATGTTTTCTAAGGCTTAACAAGGCTTTGTTGGGCTACTCTTTAAAGCTTGGAACCCGATGCTAATTCAGACATTTTGAGTTGAAAAAGCTTCCCGGATGGAAAGTGAAACGTCTTCAGACTTGGAAACCAAAACCAGTGGATCGTTAACTTCTTTTAGATTTTTTGGGAAACACACATATTCATCATCTCCAAGTTAAAAAATATATATATTTAAGGATGTTGCTTTCATCTTCTTTCCTATACAACAATTTAAGAAAAAAATACAAAAACCTGGTGCATGCGCACAGGTTAGCACAGTTGAAAAAAAACAAAAAAAACATCTTTCCTGGTAAACGTTTATTGAATGAGTAAGCTATTATCTGACAAAGCTTCGCTTTCAGCCTGTGCTTCTTTCAGCGTCTGCACCCAGTCTGTCCCTGGCACAGTCAACTAACAGATGAAATAAACTGGCCTGGATAAAACACACACACACCCACAATCCCTGGCAGCATATCCTGCCCTCATTATTTCAATTTTGTCATTTTTAGATGCAAGCAGATGGAGATGATCTGTGTACACATGCAGTAATTCTATAAAGTAACTCTTCAATATTTAAACTGTGTTCCTTTAAATTTGCAAACTTGAATTAAATTTGGGTGTGTTATAAAGGGGGTTGCAAATTCTCAAATGTATTTGTGGCATAGAAATCATCTTTCATTGTTTGGCCGATCTCAGAGGCACTTAAATGGCTCAAACTAAAAGCAGTCAGTTAATTTCTGCTACTTCCATTTCTTTTTTTATGCTGGCACGAAAACTGAAGCTCTTTACCTGAGAAACTATTCATCTCGAGGGACCCTTAATGAGCAAACACTAAATATGAACTAGTTAGTTTTTTGAATGAGACAAAATGGATCCAAAGGCACTGCCGACCATTTTTCTCTGCAACTTTCTTCACAATTTGGGAAATACGGAAGATTTTTTTCCTTCTTTAATTTCATTGTAACAATGGTATTCACCATGATACTTTCTCTTTGTTCTTACATATTAACCAATGTTTGATACTTTAAACCATTTTCAATGTGATTTTTTTAAGATCTTTCCTAGCAGTAATAAAAGGTTTGATAACTCATACCACTTGCCATGTTACAGCCACAAATTGATCATAAATCAGAAGCAGATTTATTGCCAAGTAGGTTTACACTTACAAGGAATTTGACTTGGAGATGATGGTGCAGACAAATCCGATATAATAGAGAATACAGAATCTCTAGCTATATACAATATACTATATACAGTATATAGTATATGACCATATATTACATACAGAGTAGACTATGCGTTAATGTAACGCAGGAGGTCTGGAGATGCTACATATATGTAGCTTGTAGGTCTTGAACGGGGGAGGGAGAGAGGCAGTGTCAGTGTCACAGGGTCTTTGGGACTTGTTGATGAGGCCGGTAGCAGATGGGAAGAAACTGATCTTGTGGCGTGAGGTTTTGATCCTGATGGATGGCAGCCTCCTACCAGAGGGAGGTGACTGAAATAGTTTGTGGCTGGGGTGCGGGGGATCAGCCACAATCTTCCCTGCACGCCTCAGAGTCCTGGAGGCATACAGATCCTCAAGATTGCAGCCAATCACCTTCTCTGCAGACCGGATAACACCCTGGAGTCTTGGCGGTGGCACCAGCGTACCAGATGATGATAGAGGAGGTGAGGACGGACTCAATGATGGAGGAGTAGAAGTGCACAATGGTCATGGTGAGGGAGTTGATGTTCAACTCCCACTTTAGGTCTTTCTAGATAATAGTTCTAAGAAAGCGGAAAGACTCCACAGTGTCAATTGTGGAGTCACAGAGGGTGATGGGGATAGCTGGGGCTCAGTTCTTCTTGAAGTCCTGTTCAAATTGGTGTATTTTTACAAGATAGAATCTTTTAAATAAACTAATACAAAGTCGAGGATTATTGTGGGCTGGAAGCAAATGAATATATGATTAAAATTTTTTTTCGCAAGTAAAAAAAATAAATCATAAAAGTCTAGCTCATATTTGTACTCAGCCACTCTAAGCCAGTATTTTGTAGAACCGCAGCTGAAAGTCTTGTGGGGTTTATCTCTACCAGCCTTACACACGCAGGGAGTGAAATCTTTGCTCTTTTTTCTTTGGGAGAAAACTCAACATCAGTCACACTGGATGGAGAGCATCTGTGAACATAACTAAGTCTTAAAATAGATTCTCAACTGGAGTTAAGTCTGCACTTTGATTAGACACCTCTAATAAATGACTGAGCACGGATCTAAACCACTATAGTATTACTGGTTTTATAAGGTTTTATAGTTTTAGGATGGGTTTGTTGGATATTTTAATGTATTTTCTGTGAAAGAGATTGAAAGTCCAGTTTATTTGTTAATTTGAGTTGTTCTGTGGATTTATTTTAATATTTATGTAGATAAATATTATCTAAATACACTGATATTTGAATAATATTTGGAAGTATTTAAATGTTTTTTTAGTCCATCCATCCATCCATCCATCCATCCATCCATCCATCCATCCATCCATCCATCCATCCATCCATCCATCCATCCATCCATCCATCCATCCATCCTCTTCCTTATCCGGGGTCGGGTCACGGGGGCAGCAGCTTAAGAAGGGAGGCCCAGACTTCCCTCTCCCAAGCCACTTCTTCTAGCCCCTCAGGAGGAACCCCAATGCGTTCCCAGGCCAGCCGAGAAACACAGTCTCTCCAGCGTGTCCAGGGTCTTCCCCGGGGCCTCCCCCCTTTTAGTCACAATGTCAAATTTTCTTTAAAAAATGAAACTTTATGCATCTATGATTTATGTACCCTTATACTACCGTATTTTCACAACCATAAGGCGCACCGTACTAAAAGGCGCACTCTCAGTTATGTGTGCCATTTCTGTATTTAACACACACATAAGGCGCACCGGACTATAGGGCGCGTTTTTTATATACAGGTACATATCCTCTACTACCTTTAAATACCTCTACTGCATATTTAAAAATACAGCGGGAGCAAAACTGAGTATGATTGTGCTTTATTCATGTATTTATTACAAAGTATTAATCAAACTTGGGAGCTGGCCGTGAGTCAGACACATCGCAGATGACACAGCGCTGTGGTCACTCCTAAATTAACTTAAAATCCTGAAACCTGCCGACAGAATATGTTCACTTTTATTACCGGTATCCTGGTGCCTGCAGTTAAAATTATTTAGATGAAAAACACCTGCCAGCAGCCGCGGTGAGGCTGCTGTTGAAGGGATTTACTGTCGGTGCACCGCTGGTATGTGGGGGTCTGAGCGCCTCCGACAGAAATAGATAATCTGGATGAACTGACTGCAATTATTAAGTTTTCAGGTGGTCTCTCTCACTTAAAAACATTAAAACTACTTTATTCCCACTGATCACAGCAAATATAGCTGCAAGATTTAGATTATTTAGATGAAAAAACACCTGCCAGCCACCGCGCTGAAGAGGAGGAGACCCGCCCAGAGGCTGCTGTTGAATTAAGTTTTCAGGTAGAAAAATAGAGCGGGAGCAAAACTGAGTATGATTGTGCTTTATTCATGTATTTATTACAAAGTATTAATCAAACCCATCAAAGTCATCATCCTCTGTTTCTGAATTAAACAGCTGCGCTAAATCAGACGTGCCAATTTCCCCTTCTTCGCTGTGAGAGTCATTTTCCGTGCAGCGCGGCTCCTCAGAAATAATGCCGGCTTTGAACAACTAAGGGAGCTTGAACAACTAAGCTTGAACAACAGAGCCAGCAGACACGTTAGTCCAAGCATCTACAATCCATCCGCAAACGGTGGCGTAACTTGCCCGGCGGTGCCTTCCACTTATCCTGAAACTGTGGTCTCCGTCGGTCATCCATTGCTCCCACGCCGCTCGCAGCCTTACTTTGAACGGCCGCTTCACACCGATGTCGAGCGGTTGAAGTTCCTTTGTCAGACCCCCGGGATAACGGCGAGCACAGCGTTCATTTGATTCACCTTTTTTTCACATCGGCTGTGAGATGGGCACGCAGCGATGGTGATGCGTGGAAAAAAGCACCTGGTCTCCTCACATACACCTGCCTGCATCATCTCCTCATTCATCCAGTCTTTTTCATTTGTGTTAATATCATATGTCATCAGAGCGCTGTGTCTGTCTCGCTGTCAGCTCCCAGATCAGATTCTCTGATTGGTTGATGCGGCGCGTCCAGAAGCAAAACTTCAATTTTTCCATCTCGAGCAGCAGCAGCGCGATGCGCTGCGCCTGCTGCTCAAAAACGCGCTGCAGGACCTTTTGCTGCATCTATACGCGCGTCAACCATTGACTTTGCATGTAAACTCGCTGCTTCTGCTGCACCTGCTGGGTCCGGTTCACACCGATGTCGAGCGGTTGAACAGCGAGCACAGCATTAATTTGTTTCCCCATGTTTTTCACATCAGCTGTGAGATGGGCACACATGGAGTCACATATTAACAGCGATGGTGATGAGTGGAAAAAAAAACACCTGGTCTCCTTACATTCAGCCACTCTTTCATCATCTCCTCAATGAGGTGGTCTCAAAAGTCGCAGTTACAACACACATAAGGCGCACCGCACATTTTGAGGGGAAAAAAAGACGTTTAAGTGCGCCTTATAGTCGTGAAAATACGGTAGTTGAAAATGGTCTTCAAGCGACCAACACTCTTTGCTAAAGGTAAGGTTCAACTGAACATGCTGCCGTTAGCACACTGCATTGTTACTGAAGCAGACAGCTTGGTGTATTTGTTTTCTTTTTAGTGAAAGGCACAAGTGCTGAATCCCTCTGTACAAGTACTCTTTCTTTTTTCTTTTACACTATTTCATTCTTGTAGTTCCTGTCACTTCTTTGTATTTAATACAATTTCAATGCGCCAAAAACTCTAAATATGAATGGACAACGGAAGAAGAGTGAGAGCATGCAAATGAGAGAAATTTTGTTATGATGTCTGTGATCTATAGACGGCTTCTACCAACATTTAGGTTAACTATGGAGAAGTTTACTTATACAGGACCCTTCATAGAGAAGGGACGGCCTGCTTTACAGAAAAACAAAACAAAAGAAAAACACAGATATATTGAGCATCCCTTTGGAATAAAGAGAAAATAAAGATTGAACATACTTAATCTAGATTTGATGCTATAGCTTTTATTCTGAGGATCAACCCAAAATTCAGCAAGCAAATTTTCCTTACTCTTTTTTTAAATCAGAGCCTGATACTTTAATATTTTTGCTTAAGATTAATATACAGTGAGAATTTTTTACCGACGCATGCCTAATCTATTATAATGTAAGAAAACAACAACGTAAAAACAGCTACAACTTGAGAACTGATGACTAAGATGATGTGTTTCATTTATTAGAACCTCCACATGTTATCATAGCTATGTTTTCTTTAAATCTGCCATCCTTTTCACCATGCTGAAATTTAAACAATAACAGATGACCTTATGGTACAACATCCTTTAACCGTATTTGGGTCCTTTAAAACAACTCTTTCATAAAATAGCCACCTAGATCTTTTTATTTTTTAATCATTTTTCACTTATGTTAGCGGTGTTACACTGTGCAGAGGGTGTGATGTGGGTCACCTCAGTATGAGGTTGCATGACCACATCTGCAAATGTGCAGAAAACAAGCTACTGCATTAAAACCAAGCAGCACACAGCTGATTGAGTTGCTCAGGTAGACAGCTGACAAAACACTCCTTTTGAGGTCAGGTAATTTGCAAGAAGTTGCAGGTTCTACTGGTGAAAGAAAAACCTTTATAGCCAAAATAAATTTAAAGAAATAACTCCAGATGTCTCCTCCTAACCCATCATTGACTGCAAGTTTAAAACACTGTCTAGGAGACTTGAAACTTAAGTAAAAATAGTTCAACACTTGACCCAGTTGCAAAGCAGAGTCTAAAACTGAGGGGAAGCCTGTTTAAAAAAAAAAGAAGCTTTCCTACATAATTAATATGTGAATGGTTTTCACACTGATGTGTACATTGCTTCAAGCAAGACCCTTCAGTCATCTTATTTAAATGGAAGTAGGACATTCCTTGCCTAATGCAGGAGTTCACAGATTTGCTCTCTAAAGTTAAAACACTTCTTAAACTGCTGAGTTTGTAATTATCAGATTTTAATCCTTTTAAGACTATTGCCTGTTTGAAAAGGTAGAAGTGCTGCAATGCACTTGGAGCTAACCAAAATTATCAGGAGTTTTATTAAGTTTGATGGGTTTTTGTGATTGACTTTAGATTTGTTTAATTGTATTGATTTCTATATATGTAAATATTACCTCAGGTGCATAGTTTATTGTTTTGGTGTAGGTTTGTATGTATATTAATTTAGCTTCTTTTTCTTAACAATCCCTTTTCATGGTTCCTTCCTTCATGTCACCTGAATTGAGTTTTGGTATAACATGCTGTTTGTTCTTTTTAGTGTGAGAAGGTGTTGTGTTCACAAGCTGGAGTTCAATAAAGCCACCAAAACGTCTATTTTGTCTTGCCTCTCTATTAAATATTAGTCCTCTGCCGGTCAAGCTGACAACGAGAGATGAAACAAGAAAAAAAAAAAAAAAAAAAACTAGCCACATTTATGGAGGAATTTAAAATTGACTTCAAACAAGAATTCAACATATTTAAAGAACAGATTGACTACAAGTTACCTGAAAATAAAAAAAGAAAGAAAAAGCAGGATTTGGAGGAGGTGCAACCGCGGATTAGGGAACTTGAGGACTTAAATATAGAGGTGAAAAAGGCCTTACTGACCATCCTCAGAGAGCAGTGGGGTCTGAGAGAAAAACTAACTTAGATGGGAGATTAAGATGAAGCAATTTGGAGATTTAATGAGCTGATGTCAACTGTGCAACAAGTTCCTATCAATACATAAAACCAAATCGGTTCGTTTTATGGTGAAAGGTTGTTAGGAACTGATCATTTATAAATCATAATAATAATATAAAATATAACTTTATTTATGACACAATGGAGAAATGTACTTCTGCTTTTAACCCATCACCTTGGGTAGCAGAGGGCTGCCATTGCGCAGCACCCGGAGGGCAATCGTGGGTTACGGTTCTTGCTCAGGAACCCACAGTGGAGGCTGTGGGGATCGAGCAAAACTGTTTTTTTTTTTTTTTGCTACCACCTTCCCAATGCTGACCTCCTTAGTATTGATCACCTAAAATCCTATTAAAGATATATAAGAATTTGTGTTTCTAAAGCATCAAAATGTGTAAAATTATGTTACATTGTACTTTAGTGTTACATTTGTGAAATAATCTGCATTTATAAAACGAGCTGTAGATTCCTTGAGAAAACAGAAAGAGGAAGACTTGCTCAAACCTGTGTCTGTGAGGGTCTGAAGGTGCAGCTGAATGACTGCTGCAGCGAATCCAGGAACGGCTGGATCTTGTAAAGACCCTGATTGCTCCCCTGGGACGGGCGGAAAGCTACAATATGAAAGTACTTCAGGATCTTCTCAAAGCGTGACTGGCTCATTTTCAAAGCGATGCTCCTGTTGCTGAAAAAGCCTGAGCTCCAGATGCTAAGCACCGATTCACAGCGTTGCACGCTGGTGGAGATGACGAAGCCCAGGAATGCCTTCATCTCCTGGGCCGTGACGGGACACCAGCCTTCTTCGGAGCCGAAGCGTTCCTGAAACTTCTTGGCGTACATGTTTGTCTGGGTGACCATATTTTGGATGCAGTTGTCTGGAACAAAGAGTTGGAAGAAATCCAAAGCTGTGGCATTGGCCATCATCTTCTGAGCGGGGCCTGGAAGGAGACAGAGAGGAAAAAAGTCAGAGAAAGGTTGCTACAAGGAAAACTGATGGTCGGATAGTCTCTAGTAAGCTTATTATCAGGCACAATTGTCACCAACTTGCTGTTTTCAAAGTAAAAAAAACTTCAGCATGGTTGACCTTGATTGATCAAATTTCTCTTCTCAACAGCATGACAGGATGAGGTGACATTTTGTTGAGCTTTCATTCTCAAACCAGAGCAGAATGCATGCAGAGCATGTTTTGCTGACAATGTACAATGTTGCCTCAGAGGAAATGAAAAAAAACAACAAAGCAACAGTCAGTTGCTTTTCTCATGAATGAACCCTGGCAGCTTTTGGTATTAATGTCAGAGGCCTTGGGCCATGGATGGTAAGTTAAAAAGACTTGACAGCCACCGCACTGTGGCGACTGTCTGATGGTGTCATTTCTCTGCTGGCAGAAGGTCTCAGAGTCTCCTTGCTTTATTGCTATGGCAGGAAATGAGACAGAACCCTGTCCCCATGTAGCTGAATTAGACATCTGCCAATACAGCTTTGGCTGATAAAAGACAGCGGTGCTGGAGCAGCAGCATTTATAATTTAGTTACGCAAACACACACAATAAACATATAACCCAAATGATAAGGTGGTTTATGAAGAGCTACTGTTAAATATAACCTTTATCTCAGAGGAAACGCATACATACTGTTCCTTTACAAGGAATTAATTAAATTAACTAGGGCTTCCACTAACCATTGATCAATCTGTTTCCCTTTTTTTTTAATTAATCCATTAATAATGAGATAGCAAAAGTTGAAGATCTGTTTACTTGATATGCATCAGATGAAGCTAAAATTAGATAGATGAAGGTTTTTTATCTGAAATGCATGGCCTGTTTGAGGGTTTGTACACTTTATCCAATAAATATCCACTTGACAAAAGAGTTGAGAGATATTTAAACAATCACTTAATCATGATAAACCCAATAAGTTGTTCAAACCATAAAAATAACTAAGATAGAGAGGTGGATCGTTAAAGATAAAATGATAAATACAACTAGCAGTTCAGATTTTTTATTTTTGTCGATCTTGTTTATTAAAGGGTTTAAACATCAGATCAAAGTAAATTAAAATAAATAAATACTGCAGCATTGAAATGTGATGAATACTCGTATTTTAACTCTACTTTGGTAATTGCATTTTTTCGTTTGATCAGAGTCTAACTGTTGACACAAACAGAAACCAAAACCTGATGCACTTTACAGCAAACGGTTTGCTTCCCAGCTGGCAATCATTCTTGAAATCTCAACTTCTTATCACCTTCATTATCATCTTTATTTGTAGAGCGCTCTAAAACAGCTACAGGTGGAAAACAAAAAGTGGTGAACACACCTAAAAATAATAAAACCCAATATAAGAATAAAACAGCATTAAAATCTAAATAAGGCAAAAATAATATTTTCTTATGCTAAATAAGCAACGTCAAAACAACTAAGTCCTGCCTGTTAAAAGCCAGCAAATAAAAATACGTCTTGAGCCATGTTTTAAAATTATTCCATAAACGAGGAGCAGCCAGAGAGAAAGAGAAGGCTCTGGCCCCTCTGAGCTTCCTCTTAAACCTCAGTGCCTGCAGGAGCTGCTGTTCTGCTGACCTGAGGGACCGAGGAAGCAAGTAGGGCCGAAGAAGCTCAGAAAGATGGGGCAAGGTTATTTGGCTTAAAAAAAAAAGCTAACAATTTTAAAATCAACTCTATAATGCACCGGCAGCCAGTGGAGTGAGACCAGGACAGCAGTGATAAGATCAGGAGTCATATGTTTGTTATGCTCCAACTCTATTAAGAGCAGCACAGTAACAAAGCACAATATTCAGTTTTTCTTTTTCTTAAAAATTACCAATTACTCTACAGTCAGCTGCTAGTTGTATTGCTAAAAATTGGAATCCCAAACTTAGATCAGAGGATGCTCGGAGTCATCCCGTGCAAAGCAGACCGACTTTATTAGTAGCTTGATCTCCTAAACTCCTGTGGCCATTGGATCGATCAGGACAGTCTAGCTTCATGGAATAGACACAAGTCATCCATCACTAAGGGTTTATTCAAACCAAAGTCAAAATTTCTCAAAAGGTCAATCAGAAGTATCAGAGAGAAGATGGTTAGCCTTTTTTCACAGATTAGAGTCTAACCTAAATGCACTTCTGAGTGAAAGGTAAAAAAAAAAAGAATTACCAGAGAAATCAGAAATTTTGCTGAAAACTTTCTTTGGTAAACAGAAGCTGTTGCAGCTGCAAATGTAGGTCAACGTCATATTAAACTATGTTGATTAGAAATTTGACGCACCTTAAATCCATATCTAGGGGAATGCACCGAATGACAACCAAGTCTGCAAAGCAATCACTCTAACAACTCAAGTTGAATCTTTACCACAGCATGGCTTATATTTAAGTGAAATCTTACTGTAAGGAGAAATAAATGTCTCAAACAATTCTTTTATGTAACTTTTAACTAATGTATCAACATCCAAAACCTTCCTATGACTTTTACTGTACTTATATACGGCTTTGGGACAAAACTGGAAACTGAGTGGGACGACTTCAAGCTCAATAGACAGCAATCTCTCATTATCCCCGAACAGCAGAGAGCAACATAGTCCTTGGACAAGCTCTACGACTGAGTGGTTTGCAACAGCTGTTTTAGGTTCTTACAGTGGAAATGAGCAATAACACCATCAGGACTTAATTGTCGATAGCTGGAGGTGTTTAAAGGACAATAAGCTGAAAAGAGAGACGAGTAAAGGTTGATGACAAGATGTTTGTAGGAAGATATTACTCAAAACGACCCAAAATTATTTGTATCAGAAAAAAAATGTATTACGATAAACGATAATACTGAATTTAATCTTTTTTTCCTTTTTTTTAACTATCATTTAGCTTGTATGTTGATCCTCTTTAACAAGACTCATGCTGCAATAACTATGCTAAAAAAAAACAATATAGGGAGGGATGAGTGTAGATTGATTGAACCATTTTGTCAACCAGGCTCTTTAGAAGTAAGAAAGGTAGACATACGGAAAACAAACATGGAAAAAACATATCGAACTTGAGATAAATTTTGTATCATGCGATTAATTGACTTATTCATTGTGACAGACCCATCAGAGACATTTTCTCATGAAGCATTACTAACATGTCCTCAGTCTGACTTTGACGTCTCCCGCTGTCCATATTAGTTAGAGGGAGACTGAAAATACATTATGCAAGTTATTCAATAAAAAAATCCCAGAAAGATGCAAATCCTACCTGATGAGGGGCTGATAGGTTATTCCAGATGGCGTAGGACAAATATCTGCCTGCTGAAGCTTTTTTTTTTTTTATCCAGGGATTACAAATTCAGAGATTACAGGATATTTGCAGCAAATAAACCCTTCAAAGAGCAAGATTTTTTTTATTTTCACAAAGAGGGTTTTCTGATTTATATACTGTGACTTCATGAACAGTCATACTATTTAAACCATATTCAAACCAGAATATTTTCTTGTTTTTGTCACACTTTGTGTTTCTCTATATTGAAGTAATTGTCATATAAGACAAAGATAGCCAGAATAAATGCATAGTACTAGTAATGATTGTATGTAGTTAGATAAAAAAAACAAAAAAACACAAGCATCTAAACAAACATGGCTCTAAATGACATACGGCTGTTCCTTCTTTTGTAGGAAACAACTTTAATCAAGCGGGGATAAAAACTTGTCTTTTGCACCATCAAAGAATTTTAGCCCACCGTTCTCTGCCGAATTGCTTTAGTCAGCCATGTTGAAAGGAATGTGAGCAGGCAAGGGAGGTTTAAGTTATGGCAAGGCGTTTCAATTTGAGATAAGTCTGGACATTAGGGGCAAATTCTTAAGTTTGATAGTCCTTTTTTCAACTTGACCTTATGGTCAGAAATTGATGGCATTGTTCTTTAATACTGTAGACAGTGTTTCCCAACCTTTTTTAACTTGTGTACCTTTTTGGGCATTTTGTCAAATACAAAATAAAAGCATATCATAAATCTGCCTTTTTAAGACTAGAGCTCTTCTGAGTAACTTCCTTGCAATCACATACAAACTTGATGAATTGAAACAAAAATACTTAACAAAAATTATAATCATACTGACTCCATTTATTTGACTTTGATTTCAACATTATGACACCTGAGCTGCTCTGATGAGCTTCGATAGCTCAGTGGGCTGATACCAGGCTGTTCTCTAGATCCAGTCTCTTCCTCTGCTTGGTTTTGATTAGTGTCAAAGCTGAAGGTAAACTTACTTTTTGGTTGAAAAAGAAAAAAATCTTGTTTTATAATAATTTAGTTGTCCTTTACTTCTTTGCATTTTATGACCTCTTGGATGAGCTATTAATGCACTCAGAGTAATTTGGTATAGGTGGGACAATGCAGGGAATGTTCACAAGGTTCCTTTTTTTCTGTATTGGGGAAACTTGCTCTTATTTTGGTTTGCTGGAGTCCAAATAATCTAGTAAATGCCTTCTAAAACCTTTAAAGGCTGATAAATGCTAACTTTGTTTCTCATTTCTTACATTACTTTAGACATGCTCCCTTTCATGGATGGGTTGTTTGTACAAGTCTCTGAGCAGTACTGCTTGGGTCTTGTGAGCTAAACATGATAAAAAAAAATAAAAAAAATAAACACTGGCAATTTAGTTTTCCAGCAATCTCTTATTTTTTGCCGACATTTATCCTCTGACTGGAGCTAACAATAATTTTGTAGTCATCCAGCCAGAAACCACAACTTATTTGATAATAAGGACAACTTGTACCCTCATAGAGCTCCTTACCAAAAATTTATCAACATAATATCAGTGGATGAAAAAAAAAAAATTACAAAAACTAAACAAAACATTTTTTACTTTTGAAATGTAAACTTTTTTTTGTACATTTAAATATTTCCAGAAGTAGAAATAATTTTTCCATTTATATTTTCTTTTCAGGATGAGTGCCTAGTCTTTTCTCTAAATAAATAGAATAATTTTAATATACTGCCTTTTGTCTGTACTTAGATCATAAAACTTGTTCTATAATGTGAAAAATGTAAATTTGGTAAAAAAAATAAAATAAAAAAAGGAAAAGAAAAGCAAAAGAAAAGAGAAAAGGGAAATACACTTTCAACAGTTTACAATTTCCTTATTGTAGAATTTTTTTATTTCAACAGAATACCTACAAAATACTAGGATAAAAAAAGCTCAGTTTGAAAAAATAAATTCAAAATTTGGACAATATTCAATTATTTTAACAGTTAAATGCCTAAAAGTCCATTTTAAAAATAGACTTTCAAATTCCTTCAAGCTTCTCTACAGATTTCCTCTCCTTTAATACATCATTAGAGCTGAGAACAACCACTGCTGTCAAAATGTGGACATTTCATCAGCTCAAAACATTAAAATTAGCATCATGATGATAAGTAGCTTACATAATCCAAAGATTTAGATATGGGTTTCATAATACCATGGCCTGTAAAGAGAGAGAAAAAAATTCTCAGGCAAAAACCAATGAAAAAAACGCCATGGACTAAAAGCAGAGTGTGGTTTCCTCTACTTCTGCACCTGTCTTCTGCAGCAAACCAGAACTAACCATTCAAGGTTTGCATGAGATTGGTAAGTGAATGCTGTCTGGCAGGAGCTGATGATTTATGAGCACGTTACAGAGTCCAAAGAGTGGAGCGGCTGTGTGACAGACAGCAACCTGACAGAGAAATAGGCTGGAAGGCAGTGATAAAAATATAGCCAGACAGGTAAAGCAATCCAGACATATTCATATCTTCTTTCACTGCTACTTTAGTCGACCTTAGAAGCTTCTGGTTTCATCAAATTTAGTAAAGATGCACAAATGTGCACCAGCCTTAACACTAAGGGGTTTAATTTTACTTTTTATCTCCACAGGATAGTGACCAAAACCTTTTCTGGTTGAGTTTTTACAAACAGCATCTAATTTATTTTTAATTCACCTTAGGTTAAACAAAGCAGACAGGCACGCCTTCTGCTAACCTAGATTAAGTCAACAGCAATGCCACAGCTAAACAGGGCAGAAAAAAAAAACAGGGTGTGCTAACAAAGAGCATCCTGTAACTTTCCTTATCACCAAGGGAGCACTGATTATTGCACAGTGAGTCAAGAGGGCTCAGAGCCACATATGCGGTCATACATTTGTGATAATGAAAGGGTGATGTCTGCAAACAAATTCCTCCTGATGCTGCAGGGGTTTCCGTGCACCTTATCTAGTGCACTTTGTGCAGGTTTTCATTTGTAAAAGGCAGTTAACAGGTTATGAGAAGAGCTGGGCTCATATCTGCTAAAACCACATGGTGCGACTGCATCAGAGGCTGAGGAAGTACATTTTCACTGGGGATACAGAACGGCAGTTCCTGCTGCCATGGATAAATATATAGAAACTTGAAGGGATGGACAGCAGAGGCGTAGCCAGAAAATCCTAATAGGGGTGGCCAGTCAATAACCAATAAACATTGGATGGTGGACGAAAGCCACCAGAACCTCAGGGTCAATCTACACTGTTCCAACAGAAACATGCACAACATCTTTATTTTCTAAATAAAGACAAACTATACTCTCCTGCAGCCTTTGCTAACAAATAGACGCATATATTTAAACATCTATGCTGTGTAAATAAAAGGTATAGTGGACAAAATTCTTTCAGGTTTGAATTCTGGGGTGAACATATTTCAATCGTAATTACCTACTTTTATCAATATTCATTCTGCAATATCCACATTTAAAGAATTTTTATGTTATTATTAAAGTAGTTATTTATCTATAATTTCACTGAAGACTCATAGATGACTTGCAGAGGCATTTTATCTTTACACCAAATAATTCAAAATTTTGTTCTGAAAACAGCATGAATTCTGTATCTATCATATTTAATGTTTGTATATTGATGAGCATAATTAACTGCAGTGTTTCTGTTGTCAAATAGGTTTTAATATATGAAAAATTTAAATGTTTAATAAGTTTGAACATTCTTCCGAGTATTATTGCTGCAACAGTCTGTATTACAGGAAAAAAAATGGTAGGGGTGGCCACATAGGTGGTCAATGATTGGCTAAGGCCACCCCTGGTCCCCAATCTAGCACCGCCCCTGATGGACAGAACAGATGGGTGAGATTTGAAAGGTGCAAAATAATGTTGGAAGGACTGACCCAACTGAGCCAGGCTTTTTACAAGTGTTATAAGCCCAACAATGTAAAAAAAAAAAAAAAAAAAAAAAAAAAAATTAAATCAGACAAATAAATGTAGAATTACTTAAGTAAACAAGGAAATCATAAAGAATTAAACGTTTGATGTAGGAAAAAATGGATTTTAAAAATCCTTTTATATATATTTTTTTATTATCTTCAGACTGTCGCTCCAAATGAAGTAGATCCTGACAGATGATTGGTCAGCTGGCTGTCAAAGCATTAGCCCCACCCACTACCTGATTGGCATGTGTCTTGTATAATAAAAAATGTTTGACCCACCTTCATAGTTTAATGAGAAATTCCTATGAATAAATCAAACAGTTTGCATGAGCAGAAAGTCTCCTGCTGTAAATTCCGCAGCATGTCCCTCAGCAGCCTGTGAATCACAGCACCAAGGGGTGAAGCATCAAAGGCTGGATGGATCTCTGCTGCTCGGTCATGCTTCTCTCCATAGGAGACTACATGTGCGCGCATGCAGCCCTACATGTCATTAAGGTCTGCTTACATCGGAAACATGTCCAATCACCTTAAAGCTCCGGGTATTTGTCCCCTGCACATCAAATGACCTTATCGTTGAAGATGAATCGCGTCTCACCGTATGTCTCCTTGTAGGCTGGGACGGTGACATCCTGCAGCGTCTCCGTCCAGCCCTCCTCCTCCGCCTGACTGCGGGTGAGGGAGCCCGGTGGACCGCTGCTTCCGCCGGTACCCCCACCGCCAGACCCCCCGCTGTGGCCGCACTCCTTATCCCCTCGTTTCTGATGATGATGATGGTGGTGGTGATGATGGTGCCGCTCATCATCGGCCGCCTCGGCTATGTAGTTGTCTGAGTCGGAGTCTCCGGAGGTGCTGTAGAAGGGATTGTCGCTGCTGTCATCCCCGGACTCTCCGAACACATCGTCGGATATCTGCAGGCTCTCGTACCGGGAGCGGGCCGCTTCCAGTAGGGACAGCGCCTTCCGGCCGCACTCGGCCATCTCTCTCAGCAGTGATGCTCCTCTCTCTCTCTCTACCTCAGTCTGTCACCACCTCTTTCCTGGCGCGCAGGTAGTCACGATGTAGCAGGAACAATGATGAGTGTTCACTGTGACAGCTGCACCATACCTTGGCCTGAGAAGCTATGCATTTAAATCCAGCTTCCTCTCCCGGCTTAGATTCAGAGCCTGTCGGCAGCAGATGAAAGCTGTTCTTAAGGGTCCGGAAATAATTCCGCCCCCTGCTGCGCCGACAGGGCTGCACTGTGGGCAGCGCTCAGCATCCGGGTAGAGAAACGCTCTGCAGGCTCCAGCAAGGAGCAGAAGGAGTAGTATCTGTCATCACCTGACTCTGATCCCCTCCAGCGGCGACCAATAAGATCACATTTCCTGATCCACACGTAAATGTACGGAGGATTAGGGCCACTGAAAAAACAAAAAAAAGTTAACTGATTTTAAATTTTTATTTCAGTTTGAGATAAAAGTCAGAATTCTGAGATTAAAAGTCAAAATTTTGACTTTTCTTCTCAAAATTCTGACTTTTCTCTCAAAATTCTGACCTTTTCTTAGAATTCTAACTTTTTTCTTAGAATTTTGAATTCAATCTCAAAATTCTGACTTTTTCCCCACAATTCTGGGTGTGGAGGCCCAGTGGTTATGGTATAGGGCTTTGGATCCTGAGGTTGTGAGTTCGATCCCCTACTCCAGCCGACTGCCACTCTGGCTCCCTGAGCAAGACCCTTAACCCCACACTGCTCCCCAGGCGCCGCACAATGGCAGCCCACTGCTCCCCAAGGGGATGTGTTAATGCAGAGAATTCATTTCGTTGCTCTGTTTTTTTTTTATCTATTTAAGCTCAGAATTCTGTCTTTTTCTCAGAATTCTGTTTCTTCTGAATTCTGACTTTAATTTCAGAATTCTGACTGAATTCTGACAGCTAACAAACATGACAGCATTAAGCTGTCTGTTTTAGAGACTAGCTCTCTTGTTTTAATCACCTTCTGCTCTTCCATTAATGAAATAGCATCACCAGGGACCTGTCTGACAGGTAAAAAGTCACCTAATTCTGTAATTTTCCACCAATGGGTTACTGGCCCTCCCAAACAACTCACATCTTTGTCAGTAAAGCTAAGTGCTCCCACATCTCTTCCTTCATGGTGACATTAAGATCCAAAATTCTGAGATTAAAGTCAGAATTCTGAGAAAAAAGTCAGAATTTCAGAAAAAAAAAGTCAGAATGCTGAGATTAAAGTCAGAATTCTGGGAAAAAAAAGTAAGAAATCAGGGAAAAGAGTCAGAATTCTGAGAATAAAGTCAGAATTCTGAGAAAAAAAGTCAGAATTTCAGAAAAAAAAGTCAGAATGCTGGGATTAAATTCAGAATTCTAGAAAAAAAAAGGTAAGAAATCAGGGAAAAGAGTCAGAATTCTGAGAATAAAGTCAGAAGTCTGAGACAAAAGTCAGAATTTCAGAAAAAAAAAAAGAACAGAATGCTGAGATTAAAGTCAGAATTCTGGCAAAAAAAAAAAAGTAAGAAATCAGGGAAAAGGGTCAGAATTTTGAGTATAAAGTCAGAATTCTGAGAAAAAAGTCAGAAATTTGAGAAAAAAGTCAGAATTCTGAGTAGAAGCTCACTACTAACATAAAATGTAAAAAAATGTTCAATTTTTTCAGTGGCCCGAATTATCTTCCGTATAAATGAGTAGATTCAAAATACAACAAATGCTGATCTCAGTAATGGGTAAAATGTGGCATTATCTGGACAATAATAAGATATATAGATATATTTCCAGATAATACATGTGGCACAGATTAGATGTAAATAACAAAAAATAAATAAAAAAGCAAAAATAAATACAAGTATCTTTCTATAGGATCCTAATATATTTCTATTCCATTTCTAATAAATACAGAAATTCATAAATATTTTGGTTATTTACACAAAGTTACAAACAACAAGTGTCAACTGTGCTTCAGATAAAGCAGGGGTGGAGCTAGATGGAGGGCCAGGGGTGGCCAAGGCCAACCTCAGCCAATAATTGACCACCCCTAACATTGTTTCCCTATAATACAGATGGTGGCAGCAGTAATACTCTCGAGTGAAACATTCTAACTTTAATTGTCAAATGTTAACAGTTACTTGACAACAAAAACCCTGTGTTTAATTATGCTCATCAATATACTAACAATGATGATAAATACAGAATTCATGCCCTTTTAGAACTAAGTTTTGTCTTATGAGATAAAGAGAAAATTATGTCTCTGCAAGTCATATGAGTCTTCAGAGATAACCACTTTAATAATGAGTTATCCATTTGATGCAGCCATTAGTACATGTGAATATTGATTTTATGCAGAACGATTATTGATAAGATGTTTGTCCCAGAACTCCTGAAATTTTAAAACCTGAATTTTGTCCACTACACCTTTAATTTAGACAGCATTGATGTTTAAATATATGTGTCTATATGTTAGCAAAGGCTGTAGGAAAGTATATTTAGTCTTTATTTAGAAAATATGGATGTTGTGGTTCTTCCATTTACCCTGAGGTTCTGGTGCCTATACGCTTTCGGCCACCCCTCAGTGTACCTTGGTTATTGCCTGGCTACACCTCCGATATAAAGTACATAAATAAATACCTATAGATCGCAATAATGCTTGGTTGATTGCTTAAAAAAATATAAGTAAACTAATCCTTCTATCAAATTTTATACCTGATACTAAAAATATACACTTTACATGAATTGAAATTTGTCTAAAAGAAGCTCACCATCGTTGCTCATAGTTATTTTTTTGATTTAATATCTGATTTAGAAATGTATTTAATGGACATGATTAAAATCCAGATGAAAGTGACAGTGTTCCCAGGCTTTGTTACTAATAAAACCAAACATCACATTACTGTATGGCTGTAAGGCATTAAAGCAAAAAAGGCTTCAATCCAACAAGCAAAAATAATGGTTGAAGTGATACAAGTTAAATAAATTTACTTAAAGTAAAAAAAAATTCTAACTCAAATGTTTAATGTGTAAATGATTATTAAAACACAACTTCACTCATATTCAATAAATTCATAGGTTCCAGTGAGACGCATTTTTCAGCTTAAAATTACCTTTTGCAGATGTGAAAAATACTTAATATTAAGGACACATACCTGATTTTATTGGTCATATGAAATTGTCTAAGTTAATAGTGTTTTTATTGGTTGAAAGTGAAAAATTATCAAAATGAACAAAGATCAAGGCCAGAAAAAAAAGTCAGTAATTAAAATATTAAATGTGGCATAGTGAATTTATTTACCAAACCAAAACACAACTTCAGTAGAATTTGAACTATTAAAACATTCTTAAAATACTTAACTGAAAGATTTTAACAGACTTTAAAAGGCCTGAAATTTTCACAAAAATTTTATTATTACAAAAGTGAATTTCTCAAACAGTTTTACTAAAGTCTTCATCTCTCTTTGCAATATCAGAAAGACAGCCAGTCATGTAAAATAAAAAAATAAAAAAATAGAATATTGTGGATAACCTCAGAATCCATTTTTTCAACCTCAACGTCCTCTCAAATAAAACGATATGGACAATCCAAAACGAGAACCTTGAGGCAATGGGCCACTGGGGCTGTAAAAGTTCTTCCATACCAAAAATAAATCTTTATATTCAACAGATTGTAAACGTACATTATTCATTCCATAGTCAGAATTTCTGACGGCTGAAATGAGCGATAAGCTCATGTTGAACAGTAAATGAACCTCGGCGAGATGAACTGCATGGAGCTGAGAGTTTAAGAACTCTGCAGCTTTTGTCCAGTTGATTGAACCAAGTCTTGGACTTCATGATGTTTCAATCTGCCAGTCACAAGAAATAAGAAAAATAGGTTATTATGGGCTATAAGGAAAGAATTTCAAATCAACCACGCACATTAAAAAACATGGTAAGATGATAGACTGAGAAACACACAAATTGTATTGATGATTTATGATGGATATGACTGTTTAACCATCTTTCACCTGATACATTCATTTATTTGATCAAACAAACAGAGCTACATCTTTCCCTATATGTTTTTTCTTAGAATAATGCAGCTTTACTACAACCATACAGTATGACCTAGCGAAAACTTAATATTACAGATTATTTGAATGCTTCTATCAAACGGTTATAGAAAAAAAAGGTTTGCATGATTGTCAATACATTCATGATAATTACAGAGGGTAGTAGCAGCAGATTTTAGTCAAATGCATGGTGACCGACTCCGTAAAAGCAGGAGTGTTGGTCCTCTATTATTCTGAAGTATTACGGTGGACAGTAGCTGCCTGTCATTGTAATTAGGGCTGCAATTAACGATTATTTTACAAATCGATTAATCTCTTGATTTTTTTTTTTTTATTAATCGGATAGCAAAAGGCTTTATAGCAGAAGACTTCTTAAAAATTAAACCATGTGAAACTAAAACTTGAGGAGTTCTGGATAGAGCATATTGACAGACAAAAATGTTTTTTTAATCTAAATGCAAAATGCGCACAAAATTGTATGCAATGTTGGTATAACTGCAGCTCTATCAGCTAAAGGCATGTTGTGCCCTCTATACTCCAGTTAATGATTAATCGATTACTATATTAGTTGCTGATTATTTCAATAATCGATCAATCACGATTAATCCGATGAATTGTTTCAGCCCTAATTGTAATCTATATATATATATATATATGTATATATATATATATATATATATATATATATATATATATATATATATATATATATAGATAGATAGATAGATAGATAGATAGATAGATAGATATAAAAAGCTGTCATATGTGGATGCACTGTACATACCGTATATATCCCATGCACCTTTTTTCTTGCTTTAGCACCTTCTTCTTCTGTTTTTGACTATTTGAGCCAATGTAGTGAGTAAATTTCTCCACTATGTGATCCATAAAATCAATTCATCAATCAATAATCCACAAATTTAAAGATCTGTGAGAGCCGAGGCAATCAGCTATTAGCTATGACCTGATGCATAAGAGAAAAAAGATTCAATTTGGAAATAATTGAGTTATTGGAGTCATCTTTTGTTGAGTCTGCACTTTTATTTATATATTTTTTTAATCTGATTTATTTTAGAAGCTTTAGAAATTCATACCTCTGTAGGTATTAAACCTCTGTAAAAGACAAAAGCACCAATGATATGTTACAGGTAACTGATCAGTATTTTTAAAATTATCTTCAAGCTTATCCCCATATTTACTAATGGAAATTAGTAACGTAGTGTCCCTGTATTCCACTTTCGCTTTAATTTACTTTTAGTGTGTGCATATTTCAAGAAATAATTTTTCATTGGACACAGATGCAATTCTGTCTTCAATTGCAATTATGTCAAATGCATCCGCTAATAGCTGATCATGGGTTTCCCTTCTTGGAACTGATAAGCCTTTACAACTGATAGATGAACCCACCGGATTCCTGGAGCAGCTGGATCTGCATTTCTCCTGAAATCATTCCTCTAGCATCTAGGTCATCCAAAAGTGAGTTTAAAGCTTCCTTCTGTCGTCTTTCCCGATCCTTAGCATTCCGGAGTTGGCGTTCCAGTTCCTCAATTCGTGCGTGAGCATCAGATATCTTCTTCTTTATCTGGTTAGGATCGAGGGCGTAATGATGATCCTACGAAAGGAATCAGAACAAACATTGGATGTAAAAGTGCTCTGAATAGTTGCAATTTTGGGGAAGATACACATTTCAAATCCTGTATAATTTAGATTTACACTTCTTCCCTGTGTGCAACTCTGTTAGTTTATCACAATAAACGTACATGAATAATTGTGTTCTTTAAACAAGAAAAAGTTTAATTTATGTCATACTTATGCAAATGATTATACTAACAGAAAGTGACGGTTTTGGAGGTTCAGGACACTTTGGAGCAGGGACCGGATCCTTGATTGGTTCCAACGCACGACTTGATGTCCTTGTTGACCGAATTTTAACAGGCTTCTACAGATTCAATGAAACATTCAAAAACAAACAAAAACAAAACATGATTACTTTAAGTATTAGATGTATATTTTGTTAAAACAATATTGTGTGCACAAACCTTCTTTAGGTGTTTTGGAAAAGATGTGAAAACAGAAGGGATTACACCTTCCCTCAATCGAACAGTTTGTCCAGTTCGGTCAAAATCAGCTTCAGTGAAGTGCTCACTGCAGAGGACTGTGTTATTAGATGGCTTGAAGTCCATCCGTCTGGAAACTAAGATCCAGGCTTTCCTGAGTCCAGGATCTTTGGGAAACCTTCAAAAGCATCATTGATGTTATGTTCACTTTAAACTGCAGCAATGATTTACTGAGTGTGTATGAAGTTAACCACGTGAAGCATGTTTTGGTTTGCATCTATAATCAAAATATACCTGTTTACAACAGATATAAACTTACTGATGAAAAGTTATCCCTCGATGTTTACTTAACGTTGTGCGTTTGCTTTTGCAGCCATACGCCGAACACGACACCGGCATATTAGATTGTGGTTATCTTTATAACAAAATAAAAAAAGCTCTACTCGCCTGCTGTCCACGTTGACCTACCTAAGATGGCGGACACGGAGACGTACGTCTCATGAGTAGCAAATACTGCGTATCACCGTTTTTTTTACGATCGGGGATTTTTTGTTGCACTCTTTGAGTAGAGTTAAATCCTTACGACCAATTAAAGTGAATAAAATATGTGAATAAAATATATAATCGGGAAATTCCCTAAAGCGACGGAACAACGCTCCTCGTCGTCTCATAGGTGGATGAAACGGATGAAACCTCCAGCCTTTAGAGGGCGCTGCTGTGTCACGGGGAAGTGCCATGTTTGCGGAAGTTTGGCTGCAGTTGCTAACCAAATAAATTGACATCTTTATTCGCGGATACTGCGCTGAGCTGTAGTTTGTGATCTAAAATGAATCTACCGAAAGGACCAGATTCTCTGTGTTTCGATAAAGATGTTTTTATGAAGGTGAGAGCTTGTCAAACTTAAGTTATCAAGAGCGTTACGGTTAGCCCCTGTCAACAGAGTTAGCATGACACGAGCCGAAAGTCGATATTTAAAGTTTATTTTTAATGTTTAAACATTTTTGCCAATATTTTCAAGTAACGTAAAAACCTACAGTTAGCGTAGATGTTTATATGCCAAATATATTACTCATTAACACCAGCTTATCTTGAGAAATTATCACACTGCTAATGTTGCTCTTTAAAGCTTTAGTAATATTTGAACCCTTTACCTTTTACACACTTTGTGTTAAGTATTTTATTAGTAAAATAGAACGTTTTTAAGCAAAAATTGGATATGCATATATATATTTACTCCTTCATTATTCCGATGGCAATGAAAAAGACCACATATAGTTATATTGTAGTAGATGTAATTAATACATATACATATTATGCCTCATTTACTCCCAATTTAAATAAAACAGTAAGGGAAAGACTATAAAGGATTTTTTTTTTTAGATATCATCAGTGAATTTAGATCAGGGAAAACTTTACCCTAGACTTTTATAATTCCCAGATTAGCTGTTTAATTCCTATTTCAAAAAATGAAATGATACAGCAAATATGCAATCTAACTAATCTGACAGGTTGGGCAAGGTGAGGATTTTTGATGAAGGATCATAACTCAGGAGGACCCACAGAAATTATTGAGCAGGTGGACGAATCTATTGATTGGATTGTAAAGCATTCCAATAATATCAAGTTTATGGAAGGATGGCCACCATTATAAAAAATAGTAATATATTGCACACAGCAAACATGAAAAAGAAGAAATTTTTTAACAGAAACTTGAAAGCTAAATTCATTTCAGAACCCAAAAATCCTGTTTTTTGTTGAATTGTTTGTGTATAAAGTAGAGTTTGTAAGAGTTCTTTTGAAATGCCGTGCAAGTACAATACTGACATATGTTTTGCTGTTACTTCCAGGATGACTTTGATGTCGACCAGTTTGTGGCTGAATGTCGGAAGCAGGTCCAGCTGGAGGAGATGAGAGAAGACCTGGAGCTGTACTACAAACTGCTAAAAACAGCCATGGTGGAGCTCATCAACAAGGATTATGCAGATTTTGTCAACCTCTCCACCAACCTGGTCAGTAGTTTTTAATGTCGGCCCATCTTTCTGCTGACAGATGGAAAGATAAGAGTAGGAAGAGGCAGTTTAGTTGTATACATATATACATGAAAGGGGGGTCATTAAAGGTAATTGTTGGCCTGGCTAAACAGGCGAAGTGTTCTGTTTCCCTGTTGAGGAGTCAAAAAAGCTCAGCTTTTGACCCATTTGTGCTTAAACGAGGGAATTCCGTAAAAGTAAAAAGAAAAACAATCCACTGGACTTTATTTCCAAGATTTGCAGACATTTTGCTACCTCTCCAGGAAGCTTTCTTAATTCAAATGTGTGGATCCGCAGTAAGTTTGAGTCTTTATGTAGACAAGGCCTTGTATTGCTTGGAAACATGCAAATGGAAACCGATGAGTGGGTCGTTTGGTTCCATTGTTAGCCTGTAATATCTGAAAGCTGTCTATGATTCTGAAGGTCGGTTGTTAAAGGGGGGGGGGGGGGGGGGGGGGGGGTTGTCGTTAAAGGGGGGATTGTCTCCTGTAATACCTAAAACCTGTCTATCCTTGTTAATGGTCGGTTGTTAAGGAGGTGTTGTTCACCGACTGAAGAGGGGAGGTGCTTTGTTCCTCTGTGATGGGGTGGGGGTGTGGTGATATCCGGAAGGGATCATCTCTATAACTGAATTGTAACTTTTTGGAAGCTGGAATCTGAGTCCACCACCTCTGTTTAAGGTTGTTTTTTTTTCTCTTAACATAAATGGCTTCCTTCACCCCCCTCTCAAACCACCTGTTTTCTTAATCCAGAATGTGAAAATTCTGGTCCTCAAAAGAATGTCCTTTGTCCACAAGGTGTAGATGTACTGCGGAGTCTTGTCCAGATGAGGCCGCTCTTCTGTGTTGGGCCATGCGTCTGTGGAGAGGTTGTTTGGTTTCTCCAATACAAAGATCAGAGCGTTCCTCTCTGCACTAAACAGCATATACCACTCCGCTCATATTCGTTCTGGCGGATCCAGACATTTGAATTGAGAAAGCTTCCTGGAGAGGTAGCGAAACGTCTTCAATTCTTGGAAACCAAGTCCAGTGGATTGTTTTTTTTTTTTTTAACTTTTACGGAATGACTATGACCTGGATGACTGAGAATCTTCATCAGCTTAAAGGAGGGAAGAAACACAGTTTGAAATAATTCCAGCCCACCTTGTATACAAGCACTTGGACTCTCTTACTTTCACAGTCTCCTGTTTCTTTAATGATTTAAACAAAGCTTGCATGTATGATATGATCGCAGTTTAACAAAGTGACTTTTCAAATTGCAGAAACACTCACTTTCAGTCACATTACATGAAACAGGAGTAAGACGCTGATTTTTCTGACTGTAGACCTTCCGGTCACAGTGATTTGCTTAAAGCAGGTTTGCAGAAGGAAAGAGAGTTGCAGCTAGTTTGCAGATTTATGCATGGGAGTAGAAGTAAGAACTTAACCACATACAGTCACTGCAAAATCCTGCAACAATGGACTCTGGACATGGAAAACCCTGGTGTGAAATATCTGCATGCTTGTTTATTGTCATCCCAAAATTGGTTGATAGCCATTTTGAAACCCTATTTCAGTCTTAAATTTTTTTTTCGTCACACCCAGAAACATTTCACATTTGACAGATTTATTGTCATAGTTTATAGTAATATAGGCTCTACAATTTTATTAAGTTACTGTTTTTTTTATCAGCCAGTTATGTATACTGACTCTGTTCATTATTCATTGGGTGTCCACATGTATAATATTAGTGAAGATAGGTCAGCCAATGTAAACTCTTCATTCTGGATTTGTCTGCAATGATTTCGGAAAACCAGCAGGTGTTGCTAACGAGTGGTACACTAACAGTCTCCATACCATTAAGTAAATTTAAAACAAACTCAAACAGGCATCATCTACCAATCTCTAACACAGGGCTCCTTAGACTATGGTTTGAAAACATGCATTTAAAATATATTGTAATAATTTGATCAACCGTTTATCATATATTCTGTTCTCAAGGAGTTCCTTAAACCTTTGCTCCTGCATTTAGTATTTAATTCATGGGGATGCATTAAACACATCACCAACATGTATCAGACCCTGGCCAATGTTAGCTCGGGTCCAAATCTAGCATATTTTTTTAGCCACCATTGAGTTTTATTTCAAAGTATTTTTACATTTGAATATGATTTCAGGTTGGAATGGACAAAGCGCTCAATCAACTTTCTGTGCCATTGGGCCAGTTACGGGAGGAGGTTATGGTATGGAGTCCTTAAAGATATCTGGAATGTTTTGATCATTTCCTTGTTTTTGTGTCCATGCTAATTTAGATTTGTATTTGTTGCAGAGTCTGCGTTCCTGTGTGAGTGAAGTAATACAGGCCATCGATAACCAGCTGTCCAAACAGGAAGACCTACAGAAAAAAAAGGTTTGGATCCTCTCCATTATGAATACGATCTTTGTATTGGGATAAAGTTGTCTGCAGTTCTAGAGTCAACCTAGACATGTTTGTGCCAAAATGACCAATGTAACAAGCCTGATGAGAAATTAAAACAGTGTCCCTATTTTGTTAAATGTTTCCTTTCTCGTCCCTCAGGTATGCGTGCTGAGGCTGATTCAAGTGGTTCGCTCAGTGGAGAAGATTGAGAAGATTCTTCACTCACAGAGCTCAAAGGACTCCAATCCTCTGGAAAACAGCAGGTGAAGCAAAAATAACAAAGCCCATTAGATTTTGACTTTTTAAAAAAAAATTATGGTCTAAACTTTGCAAAAAGCAGACTTGGAATATAAATTTTTCTTTTACACTTATGATATTAATAAATTATTTCCTACTGACATATTGCTGGACTGGTTTAGGCAAATAAATGTCAGAGGGTGATATTTGTTCAGCTTGGTTATATATTAATATCTCTCAGACTGATCATATCTCTGTATGAACAGCCCTTTGTTAGCAGGTCAGATCCTGGAGAGGATTGCCACAGAATTCAACCAGCTTCAGTTTCACGCTGTGCAAAGCAAAGGCATGCCATTGCTGGATAAAGTCAGACCTGTAAGTGTCAAATATGTCAAACAGACTATAATAATAAAAAGATCTTATCAGTAGTTCAAATGACTTGATGCTCCCTTTATTTATCCTTATTACACAGAAAACCTGTTTGCATTTGAGTCGTAGCTTTTTATTGAAGCCAGTGTTGTAAAAGAGTAGCAGTGGAAAAGTTTTTTTTTTTTTTTTACCATGCCTGATGTGTTCCAACAGCGTATTGCAGGGATCACCTCGATGCTGCAGCAGTCTCTGGAAGGTCTGTTGATTGAGGGTCTGCAGACATCCAATGTGGACATGGTGCGCCACTGCCTGAGGACGTATGCTACCATAGACAAAACTCGAGATGCTGAAGCTTTAGTGGGACAAGTTCTGGTTAAACCATACATGGACCAGGTACACATGCAGTCACATTTAAAGGTTTCTAGCCTGTTTTTTTTGTTGTTGTTTTTTTTTCTGCCACAGATGGAGAGTTGGGGGGGATTTATATATGTTTTTTTTTAGCATTATATATTTGTCTGTGTAAGACAGCTCTTTAACCTGCCCCTTACTATACAGCACCTCCATCAGCTCCTTTGATAATGCTGCAGGTCCCTCTTGCAAGTTTTCTTTTTTATCATTCATTAACTTTGCAGGGATGCTAGTTACACGCAACACTGGGCAATAAATCAATCACAATATGTATCCCAACGGAGACTTGATCAATATTAATAGAAAATATGTCAGTTAAAAAGGTCTATAATTTAGCTGAACTCAGATTCAGAACCAGACAACATTCTTGGGGATGTATGGAAATGAATTAGCCTCTCAACTTTTAAGGGCACAGCTAAGTAGGATTTGAGGTCAAGGCAATTGTTAGGATAATTATCATTAAAGATATGTGAGTTTATTACACCCTAATATTACCTGCCTGTTAAGTATCAGAACAAATTTTTTCCCCAGTAGTTTATCTCATTACCACAGTTCCTCTGTCCGGACATACAGTTATCATTTTAATTCTAATATAAAATGAGAGCAGTGTTCTTGATCTTAGAACAAAGTGTAATATTTTGATAAGGCTGGAGCCATGGATGTCCTTTGTTAGATTTAAGTTAAGGTCGAAGATTAAATTTAATTTAAAAAAGGGTTATATTTTAAATCCAGATTTTTCCCTGGTCCTTACTTCAAATAGGTAATAAAAAAAAAAACAATCATTGCTATTGATTGATATGAAAGGCCTACATTATGATATATGGTTCAGCTATATTGCACAGTCCTAGTTGCACCATATTTTATGCACTCGGTAGTGCCTAACCAACCGGTGTTTTATGCACTAAAATGATACCACCTACATGCTTTTGTGTCTTTCTGACTGATACTCTTTAAAGCTACAGTGTGTAATAATTACAGGGATATACAGTCAGAAATTTAATATATTATACATAACTATGTTATTTATCATCATCTACGAGCTCAGCCTCTTAACCTTAATATTTGCGTTGCCTTAGAATTCGTTATTTATAATTACATAGGAGCGGGTCTCGCAGCCATGGAGGCAGACATCTTTGCGCTACGGCAGCGCAGAGCCAACAAACTAGTGATTGCGAGATCGCCAAAACGTCACAACGATGTAGAAAAAATAACGGGTATATTTATTATCTTAAGTCTACATGAAATCTATACCCTACACAGACTAATGAAATACTATCTGTAAAATTATCTATGTAAACAAACCTCATCACTTGAGAAGGTAGGTGATGCGGACGTCGTAGAAGACATTTTGTCCCGTAACGCTCGCCGTACTGTTGGGGGGGAGAAGCGGTGGGGGGGAGATGTTCATGTTGCTGCAGTCTGCCCACTAGATGTCGCTAAAAGTTACACACTGTAGCTTTAAGAATTAGATCCATTTGACTAAGAAGATGTCAGGAAAAAACAAATAGAAAATCTAATAGAAAATCCTTCTAAAGCCTATACCTCCTTATCCTTGCAGGGTCCCGGGTGGCAGGTTGTTACTCTGCAGGAATCAAGGCACAGACTCAGACCTTAGATCAATTTGAACTGTCAGGAGGATCCCAGAGTACTCTGATATATTTCACCCTTGCCTTTGGAGGATATACATAAAAGCAAAAGCTTTTTGCTGTAAAATATCAGTGACTTATATCATGTTTATTTACCTACTAGATCAGCTAGACTTTGGAAGGGTTGATCAGACATAGTTAATTCTGAACACTGAAACATCCTCTGTTAAAAAGGGTTAGCATTTTATGAAACGCATTCAATTTTAACATGCTACAACTCATATAAAATAATGTCTGAATAATATTTTTAATAGTTTACAAAACTTGACATTTTAAAAAGAGGTGCTTTAACTTTTAATGCACTTGGAAAAAAAACTAACTTGGTATCAAATTATGCTCAATAGGGGAATAGTTTGTCATACAGAATTTTGATGAAATCCTGAATATCCAGCTTGTAAGTAACAAAGATCGCCTGTTTTCCTTCAGGTTATAGTTGAAGAAGCAGTGAAGTCCAATCCAAGCGGTCTTCAGATGATGTACTCCAGACTGTTGGACTTTGTTCCTCATCATTGTAGACTGCTTAGAGAGGTGACTGGGGGAGCCATATCCAGGTATTATCTATATCCTAATAGAAGTTACTCAGTGCTTTAATGATTCAAATAGTTTGTCCTTTCTAAGTTGTTAATTCTATCTTTTGGTTCTTAATTTAGAAAGTTCATTATCAGCCTTTGGTATGGGTCTTATTCTGCTCTAAATGTGGTCGAAATTGTTTTTTTGTTTTTTTTTATGAAAAAAAAATGTTTTCCTTATAGAAAATTTAATACATTAAAATCAACGTTCATTTAGCCTTTTTTTTTGTTTTGTTGTACCTCAGTGACAAGGCCGATACAGTTCCAGGATATGATTTCCTGGTGAACTCTGTGTGGCCAGAGATGATTAAGGGAATAGAGGAAAGGTTGGCTTACATCTTCAACCCTGGAAACCCAGAGATATTCTATGAGGTATACATCTATGTTTTGGCCAGTGGTTAACAACAGTCTTGAGTAAAATCATCTTGTATTCCTTATGGAAAACATTGTTTTTTCTTTCTTTTAGCGCTACAGCGTTAGCATGGACTTTGTTCGCCGCTTTGAACAACAGTGCAGTTCACAGGCGAGTGTGAAGAGACTAAGAGTTCATCCCTCGTATACAAGCTTCAACAACAAATGGAACCTGCCCGTCTACTTTCAGCTACGGTAAATATTGCCCAAATTTGTTGTAATCCTCTGGATCTGTTGCTAAATAGACAGTACACCCCCAGAGTCATGCAGTCATGACAGAAAAATTTACTCACCCAATTTCAAATAAAGCTTAAAATGTATGTTTTGCCTAAAATGTTACTTGAAGATACCATAACATACCAAATATTACAGTTTTTTAATGCAAATGTTGTAAATCAGTTGAATAGAGTGAGCTATTGTAGCTGTTGGCAGTAGGTTTAGGGTTGTTACGCTGCTCAAAAAGTGAATATCTGCCCCAATCCTTTATTGTTTTCATCTAGGATGAACCTACATTGTCCTATTTTCCCATCAGTTCTTATCAGTTTCCCTGTCTTTGCTTAAGAAAAACGCTATACTGTAACTAACGCATTTCACTCTGAGCTTAAGATATTCAGTGATGTTTGGTTAGTTTTTGATCACATTAGCATTTTAAAGCTTCACCAACCAGACCAGGTTTGGTTTCATCTGCTCCTTTAGTGGTTATTAGGTCTGTAGATTCGTCCATATAAGCTGTGGATCCCTGCAGCTCCTCCAGAGTTAGCATGGCCCTTTTGGTTGCTTTTCTGATTCATGCCTGTCCTTGACAAGGAGGAAGCTCATATCTTAGGTGGAAGATTATGTCATATTTTTTTTTTTTCAGATGAGAAATTCTTTTATTTCTCAGTAGAAATTCACCAATACAGCTTTTTTTAAAGGCAGATGATGATAATTTGGACATCAGTCTAATTGATTCCCATTATGTGCTGCTGGTTTTTAGGGGCATTTTCTGCATGGCCGTTCATTTAAACAAAAGAAACCTTTAAAAAAGCCAACAAAACAGTAGCGATTGACAGCAAATGGAGGGAACAGCACTGCTTGCAACTCAAGTGATCTCTTATCATGGCTGCTGAATGCACTAATAAATCAGCCACCATGTATCAGCCAATACAAAGAAAATGCATATTGGCCCAAAATATCAGTCAGTCGATGTATTTGTCTGCCTCTAGTTCTTGGGGTTTTGCTTACGTCCTAAATCTGCTTCAAGCTTCTTCGAGTTCCTTTGTCTTCATCACGCTGTGTTTTGTCTTTGATATCTAACAGACCTCTAACCACTGTACTAAACAGCTGTTTCTACAAGATGAACAGTAGTGGGCCTACTTTAGTATTTAACTCCTGAAAGAAAATGGTTGCACTAGATTCAGGAAAGGTAACAGTAAATTGAGGGCACCACACAAGAAAGATTTGTATTAGAGATTGAAAAACCAGCTCAGATTTTTATCCAAAATGTTTTTTTCTTTGACCTGTCACATGGAGTCCTAAAAAAAAAAAAAAAAATCAGAGAAGATTGTAGCTGTGTAATGATCAACAAGTCACACAAAGAGTATTAAAAGGTGGAAATTATCCAAGTTTTCCAAAACTAGGAGGATGTGTTCATTAGTTATTAGCTGAATATAAAGTAAAACCATTTATTTTATGGAGCTTCTGTTTAATGTTTGCTCAACTAGTAGAGATTTTTAGGTGGAGCGGTTTTTGCATTGAGGAAAGCATGTAAAAGTGTCATTGTCTGAAATACAATAAACATTGTGAAATAAAGTGAACATTCAGCTCTAGGTGTAGTTTGCAAAACTGCTTTTAGCTTTTTGGACTCAGATTAAACGAATGACCTGTCAGCATTCCCTGCAGATAAAGACAACTTGGCAGACACTGATGATGGGAAGAAGGCTCTTTTTTTTTACTGGAATCTGGGAAATTTCTAATGGTTGTTAGTTTCATGGTGGAGAAGGATTCAAAGCGAAATGTAAATAGACGATGAATGCCAGCATATTGCTTAACTTTGCTCACAAATGACACAAGACCTTTGGAAGAATGGTTATTGATCTGTGTGGAAAAAGGTACACAAGCCCTGTTGCCCCCACTGTAACACTGTAAAACGCAGAACATGTAGGTTCAGCACTGCACGTCAAAGCAAAGATTGGGTTTCCTATCTTTATTTCACAACCCAAACCTCCACAGCTAGGCTTTTCCGGGAAGTCCAAAATTTCCATGCACATGTTGTTGAATGTTTGTATCAGCGCTGATGACACGTTGTCCTGTCCCACTCTCCATACTTCCCCGTCTCAGGTACAGAGAGATAGCTGGATGGCTGGAGAATACCATAAGTGAAGGATTAGAAGCAGCACCAGGTGGGAGTTCATCTGCAGATATAAATGTCTGTGTTCACAGCGTAGGTTACCCACAATACCTCTGTGTTTCTGCTCTTTCCCAGCTGGTAGTTCGTTCCACCTGCAAGTTTCTGAGGTTTTGTGGTCCTGCTTGGTAAGGTGCTGGTCAGACAAGGTGTATCTGTCACCCTTGGCTCATCGCTTCTGGAAGCTGACGCTGCAGCTGTACTCACGATATGCCAAGTTTCTGGAAGAGGTAAACCTCAGAGAAGAAAGTAAATGCAGCACTAGCAATAATGTGCTGGTTTAAGCTGAAAGCTTAAAATATTGACATAAAGAGAACATCATAGATTTTAGGTTTAGATGAGTTATTCTGGGTTGTGGTTCAGTCATTTATTCTTCCCTGCGCAGGTGTTAACAAAAACTCCTACCCCTGAGGCTCCAAAGGAGCCGACCAGGCCTCTACCGAGCTCGGCCTCCTCCACGTCTAGCCGCACGTCGATGGATGAAGGCGGCAGTGAGAGCGGAGGCCCAGCGTCTCTCTCCACAAAACAGCTGGTTTATATCGCTGCTGACATTCAGAGGCTGCAGGAGAAGGTGCATCATCCTAAATACACAGACACCTTTATTTCATTACACATATCATATATCTGTTTACAGAACCAAACTTCAAGGTATCATAAAGGGATTTTAGGTTATAGATCTAAATTCAGTGCTAAACTGTAATGTGAAAGGAAGCTCTGGCAGTCCCCATGAAGAAAACCATTTCTGATTGTTTTTGTATAGCTGCTGATCTGTGGGAATGTCGGACTTCTATATGGGCTGTGAAATCTTTTTTTTTTTTTTTTTTATCTATTTACACAAATCATCTTCTTCCTGTTTAGATACCAGAATTGTCAGAGCTGGTCAGGCAGCGATTAGAGGCTCTGGGGATGAAAAACTTTGCTGTTGTTGAAGGTAAGCCGGCCATGGAGAGCGTATCGGGATCAGTTCTGTGCTCCATTTCATCTGGTTTATTTAAATCCAAAAAGAAGAAAGTAAACCCGAGCTATGAATATCTTTCATATTTTTCTCTTTGTTTTTAGTTATACTATAAAAAGATGATGTTGAATTACATCTAACAAGCAGAAACATATTTATGATGTACAAAGGAAACCTGTTGGGGAAACGTAATATAATTATTGTTGGTGTCCTGGTAAAGTCACGCAGCCTTTAGTGTTTTAACCCATTCTGCCTCAGTTTCAAATGAATAAATGAATCTCTATGCCTTATGCTCATGAATTATGAAGATGTTGAGTCATTTTGGATGTTCCTGTATTCAGGGGTCGCCACAGTATGTCATTGCGTTCTGCTCACAGACTTTGCAGAGTTTAAACTGGTTGCCCTTCCCAATGCTTCAGGGAATTGAACTCTAGTCTCCCATTTTCCTCTTAAAGATTCAAACTATTTAATGAAAATCTCACTCTTGTAGTTTTAAGACTAGATTTTAAATATTGCTTTAAATCATTAGCTTTAAAAGCCGGGTCCCATAGTGAGCAGCTGCCCCTTTTAATTTAGATTAGTTTATCTTGAGGATACCTGGATATTTACAAATCCCTCTGCCTTACAGACGCTCTCTCAGACTCTAAGGCCAGCCTGTCGAGCAGTATTCCATCTCTGAACACCAAGATGACGCAGCATCTGACTGAACGCTGCTGCCGCTTTCTGAAAAGTGCCTCAGAGGTTCCACGACTCTACCGCAGGACCAATAAAGTAGGTGGATGTTTCTCCCTGATTTTCCCCTATTTTATCGTAAACCTTGTCTTTTGCAAAATGTTTCTTTTAGAGTAATTTGCTGCAAATAGAGACTCAAATATTTAGACATGAAATTGTCCTGTTTCCTTAGGGGAAAAAAGAAACATAACAGGATAATTTCCCTTAATATTAATGAATGTGGAAACTAATACATTTATTTTGAAGTGCATTAAAAGAGAAAAGTCCTAAAAGGCTTTAACTATTGCCTTGGTTTTTAAAATGACTATCAGTCTTTTTTTATGAAAGTAGAAGCCAAATAACTTGCCTTGCAAAATATATAATAAACCAAAAATGATTCACATTGACATTAAAGGAATTTCTGGCAGGGTTTATGCAAACCATACCATCGTAGCCCTTGTCCTAGCTAAGGAAAAGCATGCAAGCATAGCATGATGCAGCCACTTCCATGCCTCACATCACATGTAGTGTTGACTTTCTTTATTCAAATATAAGTAAATGTTGGCAAAGGCAACATGCATATCTTAAAAGTATCATAACACAGGTAATATATATTGGTTTTATTCTGCTCTAGATGTGATAGCTTTGCCGGATTTGACTTATTTGAATTTCCCCATTTGAAGGATTTGCCAGTACGTGCATCAGCATATATGGACAACGCTTTACGGCCATTACACCAGCTCCTAACAGACTCAACAGGCCTGGTCAACCCCAAAACAGCAGAAGAATGGCTCAGAGTTACGCTGTGTGACTGCACACAGAAGTAGGTTTCACCCACAAATGTAGAGAAAACAAAGCCCAGACACAGAAAATGTTATTTCTTGAAGGAATTTCATGTACCAGTAATCAGTTATTTCTGTCAAAATAACTAGAAAGTTTTCAAACAGTTTATCATCATATGTTCAGGTACTATGAGACCATCTCAGAGGTGCTCAGCTCGGTGAAAAAGATGGAAGACAGTCTGAAACGTCTGAAACAAGCCAGAAAGGGTGCAACAACTGCTGTTACAACAGGAGCCAATGGTGGACCAACAGATGACAGCAAGATTCGCCTTCAGCTGGCCTTGGATGTTGAATATTTGGGCGAACAGGTAAATGACACTTTAATATACAAATGATCACACTTACTTATCAACACCTCAAAAGAGAAGGAAATAATTTAGCTTTAAGTTACTGTGTCAAATTTTGCTTCTGTTCCAGATCCAGAAAATTGGCCTCCAGCCGACTGACATCTCCATGTTCTCCACCCTGATGGAGCTTGTGAAAGAGGCTCGAGAGCTCGCAGAACAAAGCCAGTAGAACCTTCACTCTAAAATGACGATAAACATCCTGCACACCTCTAAAGTCTCTCGAGATGTGGAAATGTAAAAGTTTTATCTGGTGTAGGTGGAGGTGGTTCCCCTAGAACCACAGAGGAACAGACTTTCCCGTTGGCCACATAAATACAAGAGATGGAATGTTACTGCAGGATCATATATACTACTGTATAGTGTATTTGCTCTTTACAAACTACTTGAAAGATCACCTTTTTGGGTTTATAATATGTAAAAAGAATTTTATTTGTAAATATTAAAATCTGTAACAGCTTGTTTATGTAATTTCTGTTTAATCTGAATGGAATGATTTTGGTGTTGAGGAATAATCAGAAATGAAAACTAAGGACTAAATCAAGAATTTAGGAATAAAGTGAAATGTTTATCTCATGATTTAAGGTCTATTTATTAATCCACTCATTGTTGCTCAAGCTACACATGGTTCTATACATTTTCTAGAAGTTAAATGACTATTTCTGCCTTTGTGTCACTTAGCAAAGCAAGAAAATTTAGTTAATCTGTAGTGGAATTGCCAGTTCTTTTAACCCTTAGTGAAGATGTGTCCTGGGACTGATAACTAAGAAAGAACATTGATTTTTGGTTTTAAAGCTTTGTTTTGTTTTTCTTTACAAATGCCCATGCTTTAGACCAACAATGTAATCTAAACATAGAGACTCCACATTATATTATTTATACTTTAAAGAGTTTAAGGCCTCTAAAGAACTTGGAAGGGAAATAGGCCCACAGCATTATACATCCTCTACAATAATTACCAGTGGGTGTAGAGCAGTGATTCCCGAACTGGGGTACTCATACCTCATGTGGTCCATGAGTGCATTGCTAGTAGTACATAATAATATTTGATTAAATATTATATATTTTGTTACATATTTTCTTGGGTAATAACATAAAATGGGGCTGGGATCTGTTTTGTTTGTTAGGACCCAGTTAATAATATGATTATATTTAGAATTTATATTAACTTCCAGGAAACATATTTATGTTTTTTCTTGATTTGAGATGGAAAAACAAAATGCTCAAAATATTTTCAAAGATTGTTTTTATTTTAGAATTAGTTAGCCATATTAAAACCTTTGCCTCAGATTTTGCCTGCCAGCTAAATGATAGATTTGGTGAGTCTGTTCTTAAATGAGTAATTAAATTCCTCAGCTGGAAATTGATTATTACAAAAGCAATCATTATCCAGAAATCATTTTCTAAAATTTGAATGTGGAGCGATTGTTGAATTTGTTTCAACTGTTCTTTAAACTTTTTTTCGTTTACATTTTTGACCTTATCTCAGCTCAGATTACTGCCACATTAATGCTTCACTCTCTTTATCATTATCAACACAGATTTGTAGGCCAGAGCAAAGCATCTTTTTTCCTTTTCATTTTTTTTACGCCTCTATTTACAGAGCTGTGAAAAGCCTTGTGCCCATTTGCAGGTTTTATTATATTGGTTTTAGTTGCTCTTTAAGGTTTAAGATTCTAAAACTAATTTTTCATATTGGGCAAAGGTAACCAGAGGAAATGCATACTGTTGGATTAATTGTACAAGTTATTCTACTTTTAATCATATTACTTTAATCATATTATTATGCTTACACACTGAGATCATATTATTATACTCACACATTTTGTTATCCTTATTTCACTTATATCATAAAGAGTGTTGAAGTATTTTACTTGTTTGTTCTGTACTAATGTTTTAAGTCTGTGCAGAAGGAGTGCTGATTATGAGAATTGGCTGCTGAAGGCCAGCCCCGGTTCAAGGAGAAGAACACGGGGAACTGCACGTACTAACACCAGAGAAAGGAGTGAAAGTTCTTATCTCATGATACTGTATGATGTTATGCAGACTTCTGGTACCGACTGGGTTTTCACCCCCTCCCTTCTGGTTCCGACTGGCTTCATCCTTCCCCCTCCCCTTAGCAGTCGGAACCACATTGTAGCCAGGGCGTTTCCTTAATAAAAAGCTTGGTAGAGCGGAGACTTTTTCAGAGTGTTTTGGAGAATTGTAACTGAACAGTCTCTGATCACTCTCCTTGCAAGTGAATCATACTAAAATTCTCTGTGTCTTTTATTTGTACAGGTTACTGCTTAAAATGTTTGGTGTTTAAACCTAACATTAATTGGTCCTTCGAGCCGGATTGCAAGATACCCGACGACCCCCAGCAGGTATGTGAGACCCAGATAAAGCCTGCGGCCGCAGCAAACAGACCCTTTACGGGACTGGTCTCTCCCTTACAAGCTGGGGTCCGACGGTTGAAGCATTTCGAGGACGCAGAGAATTGTGAGTAGTTTTTCTTTTAATAAGGAGTGAGTGAATTATTGGAAGAAAAATATATAAAAATATAAAAAATTTATAAAAATATAATAATATAAAAAAAAAAAAAAAGATAGAAGTGAAGGGCGTGGGGTCACGAGATTCCCCTTTTGAAGTCCTCTCAGCGTGGGGTCACGAGATTCCCCTTTTGTACTAAAACCCTGACAATTCTAGACTCTATCAGGTAAAACAGAAATTTTAAAACAGTTAAAGTCCGCGGGAGGGCAGGCTCCCCTAGTTTGTAAGGGCAGGTTCCCCGAGTTGTAAACTAGTTAAATTCTGCATAGGATAGCGGCGTCCTCTGTGTTTAAAATAAAGTAAAAGTTAACTGCGCAGTGTGTGTGTGTGTGAGTGTGTGTGTGTGAAAGGAAATATAGATATCACTAGATATCTGTATTTCATACCAAAAAGACAAGGGTTAAATGGTGAGCTTTTGTGGATGTTTGTAGACAAGAAAACTCCACCTGTAAAGGTTGAAGTGAGTTTTACCACAAAAAGTAGTTGATCACCATCTTGTCTGAAGCCCCAGTGTTTAGAACACGACAGGTGTTAAAAACCCACTGGGCCCAAATTTAGTTCAAAATGGGAAAAGGGCAAAGTAAAGAAAAACAGAAGTTATTAGAGAAACTCCAGTGCAAAGATTGGAAAGCAGTCGAAAATGATGACCCATCAGCGTTAGAGCCATTGTGTCACTGGATAAAAAACTACGGTTTTAATAGGCAAATTGAGCACCACAAACATTAAAGAATTGCAACAAAAAATAAAAACAAAGAGCAAAAATAAAGACACTTTGATGGCAAAAGAAGGTTACATGCAAACCATGGTCTGGATGAAATTGGCAGGTCAGAGAGAAGAGGGAGAGCGCAGAGCTAAGAGAGAGAGGGGGGAGAGACAAAGGAAAGAGAAAGAAGAGGAAGAAAGGGAAAGTGAAGAAAGAAAAAAGGAAAAGGAAAGATCAGTTATGTTTCATAGAAAGGAGGATGATGAGTACGCAGGGCCTTATTCTAACCTGATACATCAAATACACAATCTCCCATCTATGGGAGATGTTGTTGCTGCAGCCGATCCCTCAGCTCTCTCACCCACGGGGGATCCTCCTCGATATACTCCCCCACAACATGTAGAAGCACCATTGAACACAGCCCCTCCTCAAGCAGCTTCTCCACAAGCTGATACCTCCCAGGGATATATTACTAGGTCCAAAGGTTCTGTAGGGGATTGGTCAAAAACTTTAGCGACAACATTTAATGACATTCTGTCTCCACGGACACCCCGAGTGATGCCTGTGAACCTGGAAGGTGAAGGAGCAGTCCTCACGCTTCCTTTAATAGAATTACCAAACCCCTTAGCAGGCCAGGTTGAGGGGAATGCCCAACAACCAGCCACAGTAATGGTATACAGAACCTGGACACAGGAAGATGTTAGAAAAGCATTATTACAGCAAGCACAAGCAGCTGCAGAAGCAGCTTTACAGCAAGACCCAAATGAACTTGGTGCTGCTGCTGCTTCTGCTTCAGCCCCAGTCTTGCCAGCTCCTAAAGTTGAAAATCCACCGGTTTATTCTCCTATGCCCAGCACCTCCACAAGGGTTACCCGTTCTGGGGGACCTGTGGGGGCTTGGTCAAAAGATATGGGGGGAGGCTTAATCTCCCCACTGCCAGCCCCTGAACCCAAACCTGAAATTGAGTGTTTCCTTTAATTGAGCTGCCAAATCCTTTGGCGGGTCAGGGGCCAGCTGAAAATCCATTTTTTCCTGTCATGATGGTCTATAGGCAGGGGCGGATTTAGGAAATTTGGGGCCCTGGGCATGGATGGGCAGGGGCCCCCCCCCCTGACAAGAAAACCTATAAAACAGTCCCATTCTACAGATAGAGAAATGTTAATAGAATAGACATTCATTATTTGTTCTAGGTTCTGTCCCTCTGTTCTTGTTCCTTTTTCCTCTCTATTTATTAGCCTTCTGATGGCATTTTAGCCAAAGCATTTTTATCAAAAACATAATTAATATGCACAAATAAGGATTAGTTGTATTAACTATACATGTGAATAGCACCCCAACAGTTTTCCTGTGTGACAGTGGTGCATGCAGAACAACTGTTAAACAACAAATTCCAGGTGCTGGCCAAGGACCTGAGACTGTCATAGTCCGATTAGCTCAAGGTCATTTAAAGGCTGTGCAGGAGATCCAGCTTGTGTGGTTGAGAGACCCTGAAGGACTCTCCTGCCGGCTGTCTGTACTGACTTTACCTGAATGTCCAGTTAACCTCTTAGGCAGGGATGCTCTATGCTTTGCTTAGACAGAGGCTGGGCATCCCATCCCTGGTAGGGACACTATTGGTCTGGTGTCATTGGTACTATGCATTATGCATGCCTTTCTTTTTTTTATGCTTGATATGAGCATCAGTACTGATGAGAGGAATTCATTGTTTAAAGAGAAAAGGAGCATTTTGCTACATTAATAAACATTTTTAAGCACTACACTAACTAGATGCTGTTTATCAATGTTGGAGTATCACCGGCTCTGATGAATGTGGAATTAGGACTGTTTTCCACTTTGTAAATGATTTTATTTGAACAACTGAGACAGACGGTAAATACAGTACTTTCTTCTGAATATATAGAATCGTGCAGAGTTAAACCCCACTCTTATATTTTTACCTACTATGCTTCATTAAAAATAATAACTTCACTATGAAAGTTGAACATCTGGGCTGTAGTTACTCTGTGTTGCCCATCTCATGTATTTTATCTGTGGCTGAAAACATGAATCATATTCATTGTTTATTTGCATATTCGTAAACAAATTTAGTGATTCATCATTAAATGGAGTATAGAGACTCTAACACATAATATACATGTAAAATCTGGCTTTCCCCGACAGAGTAACCCACTTGGATCAGTAATCATACCAAAACTGTAAAATAAATTTATAAACATTTTGCAAATACGATTATAAAATGTTTTTGTCTGTCAATACTTTCCGTCCGGAGCTCTTCAGGAGGAGGTGTTTTGGTTTCACCTGGTTTAATGTCATTAGTAATCTTCTTTACAGAACTTTTGGCTAA